CACTTTTTCGAGCAATCCATATATGAAACCTTAACTTGAAAAGTCATTAAATGACTAAATGCTTCAGGGAAATGGTGTAGAGTCGTATTCCACTAGTATGTTTTTACTTTCTTTTTTTTTATACCGTTATTACAGAAAGGTAGAACTATACTTAGCACGACTATTTTTCCTTGAAAACTTTTTATTTTTTATAAAAAAATCAATATATCTGCTTTTCTTAAACTCTTTTAAGTGAGGCCTTTTTCTTGGAGCTCGCACTTTCTTCTGCCTAAGATAAGGAAAGGCTGAGTTTTCTATGAATTGTTTTCTTTTGAAAATGGGAATATTTCAGTCCTTTAAAAAAAAAAAGGTTTTTAAACCGATCTAATTGAGCTGAAAAAATAGTCTAACACTTTCACTATATTTATTTCGTAATTCTGATTGTATCAACCACAAATAAGTATCAAATATTTCATTATTTAAATATATACTTTATCAATTAGGTAAAGCGCCAGATCTGTTCGTCCTTTCCCCAAAAGAATTCGTATTGCAAAATGCAGTAGCAGCGTCTCTGAAAACGAGAAAGAAAACTATAAGCGTCTTGAAGACGATTCTTTGGTAGCCATGACTTGGTGTGTCGACGTTTTGGACTAAGAATCTGTGGGCCAAGATGGGTTTTTTTTTATTAGTGTAGTGGTGATAATTCCAACAGGGACAGTTAAATCGACTTGAAATCTCGGGAATGAATATATATGTGGCCTCCAGCAACACTGCTTGTTCGATATGAGAGAAATAGCTAAACAAAAATGTTGTATTCATACATCTTCCGATTATGATTATAAAAATTAAAATAAAATATTTTGATGATTGTAGACCAAGTTAGTGTATCGAGATCATTTTTACGCTCATCTCTTAAATCACCCTGACCAGTAGTTTAACAGGCTTTGGAGTAATATCTGTTGTGGATTATAAGCTATAATTTTTTACCTAAATCAGGCCTGGCTGTATGGCATGTAGGCATGGCTTTGCAGCGTTCCCTTTCAAGTTTGATCCGACTGAGAATATAAATGTCAAGGTACAGTTTTTTCTCGGAAGCGCGAGCATAAGTAAATCGGACCAAGACATTATTGTTATTAAGAATCAGACGGCCAAGCGAGCTTGTCTAAATCGAAGCGAGCTCACATTCTTATTAAGAATTTCTTTGGCTTCTGCCATCTATCGCTACACGTGATAAATAGAAGTTGACGGATGTGAAAATGAAACTCTCAAAATCTTCTGCTGTCTGAACAGCATCAAGTGCACACATTAGGATTTCCTTCTTTTCTTGACGGCCTGTTAAACTACTCAATTCCATTGTTCATAATGTGCAACATATCTCAAACAACAACTGGTCTTTCGGACAACTGAAATTCATCTCAAGCCGAGTGGCGCTTTTTTATTTGGTCTAACGAAGAATTCATTTCCAATAATTTAATTTCGGGGATCTCCTCAGTGTATCATATATAACTGAGTCCCTATAAGCGGAGCCGTACGTTTTTTGATACTTAGCTGAGTTAGTAAACACACAGAGAGGTATAGATTAAAAATGAAACATCCTGAAGGTGAAGAAAATTCTATGAAAGATTGATTTAAAAAGAAAAAGAAGAAGTTTCCTAGTTCTTGGAAATATCTGATGTTAGAGATGCAATTTCAAATGGGTCTAGGTTAACCTATTATATCGTTTCATATACAATTTGATACCACTTCATAAACTGATCGTGATCCTGTTATGAACGTCACACAAACAGACGAGCATTGCTAAATCGATTTTGTTCTACAGGGTGAACCAATAATATATAAATTTGCAAAGAAGCGGGTATATAAAGCACAAGATCACAAGAGATTACTAGGATTGAGTAAAAAAAATCCATATTTTTTGTTTGTTTTGTAAAACTCCACTTAGTTTTCTTCAAAATTTTAACAATGGTTTCAACGGTTCTGTAACACTTTGAAGTGGATTTGTCAAGATACTGAAAATACACCTCATTTTCGGCAATGACTTCATCATTCGATCCAAATACTCTTTCCTAGAGTATCCGTGTGCGATTTGCAAACAGATTGTAGTCGCCGGTGGACATAACAGGAGACTACGATGTGAAGGAAAACAATCCAAACTTCACTTCATACAATTTTCTCACTATATAGCTAAAGTTATTGCATTGTGATTAAAAGCCGCGTCTATTCGGAAAGCAGCCACTTCATCTACAAGTCTTCATTCAATCAGCAAATGGTGAGTACTCAGCCGTTTGATATCTCAAGGATGTTAGCTCCATCAGTTCCATTCCATCGATTTGAAAATTACAAAACTAACAATGAAACCATTGTACATCGTACACAAATAATCCGGATGATACGAAGTTTTAACAGATGCTGTTTAAGAATTTCTCTCTCAGAAAAATGGATGCCAATGTGTTCCCAGGTTAATCCTGTAAAAAACAAAAATGGCATGACCTTATAATAAAGTTGAAGTAATTTTTCTTCTCTATTAAAAAAAGATCACATTCGGCGGTAAAATATTACCACGAAAGTAAGTAAACTGTTCTCATAGCCTTTTTATTAGGGCACCCTTAAGGGAACATTAGTAAATCAAATTTCTAGAAAAGCAAGGGATTCTCTTCTAGAAAAGTTTTATTCGTTAAAATGTTAATTAAAGCAAAAAGCTTTTTAAATACCTCCTAAGATGATTTGAGAATAACTTCGCTTCAGCAAAAGATTTACAACTCAAAACTATTATTCAATTTTCTACGATCATCACAGAGAAGAAGATTATCAACCACGCATGAATTCGAGGATCACTTCAGAGTTAACTTCAGAAAAAGCGGAAAATGTCCTCAACACCATATAAATGTGTTCATCAACGAATTTCGTAAGGCGATTCTTTTCCTTGCTTACGGCTGTAGGAGTAGAACGTTTTTTAGATAATTTCTGAGCGCTAGGTTTCTAGCTTAATACACTTGGAATCTTAGGCTAATCAAAATTGGAAATAATCCGCCTCAGTGACAGAGTAGGTAGCGAATCTCGACTAGCAACCCAATGGTTGTGGGTTCAAATCTCTAGTGCGGTAGAGTTTTTAATGAAAAGCCGAAAGCCTTAGATGCTAGTGCTTTAAGACTTTAATCTTAGAATTTATCCTCTGGCTAAATTTATAATAATAATAATAATAATAAAATTGGAAATATTTTTAGTTTTCCACCTTAAGATTTGGCTGATACGAAGTTGAAAACTTTGGAAAATGCCCGAATCGTTTCTCTTTTCTACATAATATTGATCAGCCAAATCGGAAACACAGTTTGATTTCATATATATATATGTAATTTGAGCTCCTAGAGCTCGTCCTTGGCCCAAAGCACGTCAATTTACTCAAAATGTTTCAAAAACTGCGTCCCATAGCACAAGAGCACAAGAAAACAAGACGAACAGATAAGCTTAGATCGAATAAGAAAATAATTCGGAATAAAATATGTGGCTCTCCCAAGTCATTCTGGATCTCGTAAACATCCATACAGACTTAATATAATGTTATCTCGTCAGTTGTGTTGCGATCGTCTCTTTGTATCTCTGTCTATATTAAGAGCCCTTCACTATACCTACATTTTTGATCAGCGTAAGATTGTGAGTACATTTAATCATATCCATCTGTCCGTTTTTTCATTAAGATTCTGAGTACATTTAATTATGTCCGTCTGTCCGTTTTTTCATTAAGATTCTGAGTACATTTAATTATGTCCATCTGTCCGTTTTTTCATTAAGATTCTGAGTACATTTAATCATGTCCATCTGTCCGTTTTTTCATTAAAATTCTGAGTACATTTAATCATGTCCGTCTGTCCATTTTTCAGAGATTCAAAAAGAAAGACGACGAAAAACTAGACTTGCAATGAAAATAATCTACACGTGAACATGATCGCAATACCTAGGATTTTTCTATAGTTTCATTTGCACATATAGTTGGGAAGCACTCAAAACCATACCCATTCCATTAGAAAAACCTTTGAAGATATGCTCTTTTTTATTGCCATTCGTCTTACAGAAATTTGTACTTTTTCTTTGCTTGCATGCGTACCGTACCGTATATTGGCAAAGACTGACTTTGGTATATGGGTTATTTAACATGCCTTGCACACAAATCAACATAAGCATATATTGTAAAAAAGTTAACTTTTTATTGTTTACTCCAAAACTTTTTTTTTTTACATTTTTATACATTAGTACTTTTGTTGCAAGCAAATACAAACAAACACATGCGCACATGCGCATATATATATACACAAGTGATGTGTGCATGCGTATATGTAAGTCCGTGTAAACTGTTAACGAAGCTTTTCGTGAAAGGAATACCAAGAGATAGATACGTTAGTGGCGAGAGTGTCTAGTTTTGTAATTCAACGGAAGATTCAACAGTGTTTTAAGCTTTCGTTAAAACTCTTTACACAGACAGAAAGATCGAATGAGAAAGCATGAATGCCTTGGTTTAAATGAAACTTAGATAATCACTACTTTTTCAAAACAAAAAAAAAAAATAAATAAATAAATAAATAAAAAAATAAAAATGTATTAATTTTAATTTAAAAAAATATATATATACAAAATATTCTTAACATATCTTATTACATAGGTGGAGGCCAACTTTATATTAACATTAACGTATAAGTTAATCATATAGAAAAGAATGATCGGTTTCATATATGTTACATATATGTTTATGATGCACAAACAAATTGAAATAGTGATGATATATACACGATGATGTCGTCTCAGTTATAATTTCGAAAAGTTGATTTCTTTTTTAATAAATTTAACATACGTTCATTAATACACACATGCATTTACCATTAAGCAATAGCAAAACAAACTCCCTACCACATGAGTCTAGTGAGACGGACGACTATATGATAAACGAAGAAAATGTGATTGTATCCACAATTTGCTTCTTTTTTTTATTTATTTATTTTTTTTTTAAGTAACAAAATAAATTGCAAACTCAAGCATTTTGTATGCTTGCTAGCTGGCACACAGCACAACAACAACATTGTGTGCGCGAATGCCTTCAATAATGATTTTCAATATGAAAGCACATGCATGGCTCATATGACTTATGTAAGTATTAGTTTGTCGTGTGTGTGTGTGTGTGTATGTTTGCTTATGTGGGGTTCGTATTCGCTTTAATGGGAGAGCACGCATGCTAAAGAGAGAAAGAGAGAGGGAGAGAAGAAAAAAAACAAGAGAATCATTAAATGGAAAAGTTGATTAACCGTAAACTCAAGAACACTTTCGATTTCATTACATACAAACAAACAAACACACACACACACACATACGCATACACATCTATGCTTTGAGTGTTCACTTGTATATGCATAAATGTTTGCTCATTTAGTTGGCTAAGCGGAACTTGATGTTGATGTTGTTGTCTATTTTTAGAGACCCCCGATTCTAGTGAATTCTCTTACAATTTTTTTTTTCCTTTTTTGTTTTTTCAATTTATTATTACTCACGTCTAAGTAGCTTTTGCAAACATATATAGATGTATGCACACACACTCACACACGCGCACATGCAGAGGCATTTATACACGCATACTGACATATTAATGGAAAGAGAAAGATGGAGTGTGAGCGTGCAAAAGAAATCCATTGCTTATGAGAAAATGAGTTAAAAAAAAAAAAAGGGAAAAAACAAAAAGATGTGAACCATTTTTAGAAAGTAGTTTTGATCAAGTCTCTTATGAGTTGAATATACATTTCCACTAACCCAAGGCCTTTTACTAACTCTTTTTTTTTTTTTTTTTCTTTTCGTTTAATTTTGCACTTTTTTTTTTATTTTCTTGTTAAAGTGACGACGTTCGCTTATTGAGAGTTGAAATTAATCTGTGGTTCGTTCGTTCGTTCATTTGTTCGCATTTCATTTCTCATTGTATAGGTACCGAGAATGTTGATGTTGCAATACAGCAAACATGGCGAATGTATACTTAAAGAAATTGGAGCTGCCTTTCGCGGCGAACACCCCACCGACTTGACAATTGTATGCGAGAATAAAGTCAAATTGCATGCTCACAAATTGGTTTTGGCAGCTGCCAGTCCACTAATTAGGTAACAATCCTGAAATAGTTCATTTTTGCACATATATATATATATACATGTTAAAAAGAAAACGGTTTTTCATTTATGGTTTGAATTTTTCTTCCTTTTTTTTCTATTTTTTTCGTTTTTTTTTTTTTGGTTTTTTTTTTTTAATTGAAGGCACCTTTTGGAAGATACACAACTTTATGATTGTATGACCACCGTTTATTTTCCGGATGTAAATGCTACATATTTTAAGTTTTTATTGGATTTCCTTTACTCGGGTCAAACATGTATAACATCACGTGACGTTAACTATTTACACGATCTACTGCTGCTATTGCAAATCAAATCGGATAATTGGAAGACCACAGATACGGCTTTAACTGCCAGCTCAGTTGGTGGTAGTGGTAGTGGTAGTGGTGGTCTACGCACGAGTACGAATGTAGAAAATAACAGTTGTAATAATATACGAAAACCGCCGCCGCCGCCACCGCCAGTGCAATGTGAAAGTCCAGAATGCGGCGAAAGGAAATTGAAAAGTGAAAACGGTAGCGATATTAAGAGCAGCCCGTGTGACCCCGAGAAAAATATGTCTGAGGAAAATGATGATCAATTTCACTTAATGGATAATAACGATCAAGATCACGATCATGATGTGGATACGGAATCGCAAACAAAAGAATCGGCCGATATGGATAATTTATCGGATATCAATGTGGGCGGATTGAATCCAGTCAATCTATCGTTAGGGTTGCGTACAAAATCTGAAAATAATATAAAAAATGTATTCCGCGGCAAGAGTAGCTATCCATCAGACTACGAAACGTTAAATATAATGGAAAGTGCCAAACGTAAGACATTATTTCCGGAAACTGCTAAAGAAATTCTCAAACCTCTATCCGAACATTCCGACTTAAATAGCTCACCTGATAATTATGTTGTAACGCCGCATCGTAAACGACGTCCCGGCTTTCATTCGTCGCCCAGCCACAAGCCGTTCGCTTCGTATCAACATAATTTACTCGATGAATTCCGTACAGCGAAGTCTTCCATGTCGCCTATGCCTGGCTACATTCCCGAAAAAAATCTTCTATTGCCCCTGGAGGAAAGCGTCATAAATTCAGCCGACCTACTGCCACAAAATCGTAGCTTACTCGATAAGAGTATAACACGTCATGACAGCCCTGAAAAGACAGTACAATTACCGCCACAATTGGTTTACCAATGGCAGTCTAACTCGAATATCTCATCTCTGTCACATTTACAGCCCGGTGGGCTTAATTCAATATCAGAGATCAATCTTAGTTTGGAAACCTCCAGTAATCAAAATAGCACGAATGCCAATATTAGCAATACACAGAATTCTGTACGCGAGTACCGTTGCGAATACTGTGGCAAACAGTTTGGCATGTCGTGGAATTTGAAAACACACCTTCGTGTTCATACCGGTGAAAAACCGTTTGCTTGTCGCCTATGTATAGCGATGTTTAAGCAAAAAGCCCATCTATTAAAACACTTGTGTTCAGTGCATCGAAGTATGATCACCACGAACGGCGGTGATAATGATCCCCGTTACTGCTGTTGCTTCTGCTCCATGTACTTCGAATCGGTGCAAGAGTTGGTAAGACATTTGTCCGGTCATCACAACAATCTATTGCTGGCAAAAAATCTACGCGACTAGTACTGCATTCTTTCTTTCTCGTCCGATTCCAACTCTATGAACAACTTTGCGTACAACTATTGTAACTTAAACAATTCCATTTTATATACAAACGAACACACACATATACAAACACACATTTGTAAATTATTAGAAATGTTTTTTTTAAATAGCAATGAAAATGCCTTCGATTCATATTTCTTTAATGTCTTCTCTTATACATATGTAATATATACCATACACATAAACACAAGCCTATATGCATACATACTTACTACTTGTAAAAGTTTTTAAAAAGTAGTTTATAATAATTTTAAATGTTTAAAACAAAAAAAAAAAGAAGAAAAAAAAAAATTGAAAAACAAAATACAAACAAAATTTATCCGAATACCAGAATTGTTCTGCGAATAAATTCATGAAAAATTGTAAAAATTTTTATTTTAATTTTTTTTTTTTTTTTTATTGAAAATTATGGTATTAAATAAGTTCTTATACTCGTACATATCCTTACAATAGTAATTATTATTAAATATATGAATTTTTTGTTCAGTTTATATATATATATATATATGTATATATATATATAAATGTTTAATGCATACGTAATTGTATATATGTATGTGATTATATGTAATAGATTTGTATACAAATTTTTTGTATTTTTGTAAATGATTTGAAAAAAAAAGCATTCAACCCAAACGATTTTTATGTAATGTTTTAAATAAACGAAGAATTCTTTTTATTACAGTTTTCAATTAAAAAATCGTAGGAAATTCAGATTGTAGGGAGATACTCTTTACTATTCATTTTTCATCAATTTTCGATTCGCTTTATTATTGTTTTCATTTTAACACTCGAACTATCGGCGCACTTTGCTTATCCCTATTTCTACCAAAAGGAGATCATTTTGACGCCCCATAGTTGTCCGTGTAGTCACAAACAGGAAGGTAGGAAAAATGGGTACGATCTGCCTACATACATGTCCGCAATAAATGAGAAACTGAAACAACCTTGAGAAAAAAAACGATAATTTTTTCCTATTTTTGTCTATAAATTTCGATCCTGCAAGAAAATTTTGGAAAACCAAGTACTTAAATGAACGAATGTTAATCTATACTAAAATAAATGAGAAATATATTAGAAATAAATTGGATTTAAAATTTTATCGCAAATTTTTGCCGATGGGTATTGTTTTTGAACTGAACGTGAAAGTGATCTTGACAAATACTGCGCTCCCAGATTTTCAGAAATATCTTAACAAGATCGAGAGAGTTAAAAACAGGAAAACGAAAAAGAAGTCGCCTTTTTCCAAATTTATTTCAATTTCCTCCACATTGCGGACGTGCATTTAAACACATCACAACCAATTTTTAAGCTCGGGTTCTTAATCAACCAAAAAATGTCTATGACATATTTTAGGTTCTTAACTTTCTTTTTATGACTTTGACAAGTTCATGTAAAGGATCCAGAGGATTTCTTTTGTTAGAAATTAAGTATATGTTACATATGTCATCGGCATCTAGGTTCATTAGATCACGTAGAAAAAAGTGACTGTAGGCTTGTTAAAGGTATTTTGCTATAAATGAAAGTCACCGCCAAATTTTGGAACATTACATGCTTTATAATCGTTTTTCGAATCTCAAAAATTGAACGAGATCAAAATGAGGACGACATAGTAGCTCCAGTCTTAAATATTCTTTGTCTACATAGATAGATTTGGATTGCCTTCAACTTGAGAACAAAAAAGAAATCAAAACGAATGCGTTAAGCAAGAAGAAGAAATTATCCATATTGCAGAGCATCGTTCGACCTTTATATTAAAACTACAATAACTTCTACAAAATGTAGTTGCGGTACCAACTGATCATGCTCAAAAGGCTTTGGAACCTTCTCTAAACCACACGTTATAATTTTTTGTTTATTGTAAAAGTGTGCATACCTCGTTTAAAAGATGCCTGTTTCGTTCGATACGGTTTCGATACAACGCTGCACGAAATGTGCAACACTTTAGTACGATTTAAATGCAACACTACTTCAAGAAATCAAATATGCCTTTTTATTTGATTTTTTATTTTAGCCTTCATAAATGAAGTTTCAATCAACTTTTAGATAAAAAAGATCATCTTTAATTTTGGATACACAAATAAAATCTGCGTGGACATTGATTCGGAACATACATGTCAAGTTTGATCTTTTTATCAACAAGAGACGGACGCTTGGACAGAGTTAGATTGGCTCGGAATGATGCGCGGATCAAGCAACACTAATGAGTAATGCGATTCCTAAAAATTTCACTTGTAGAAAATGCTACATATCCTTTTTGATCCCGTTTGTCTTTGATTTCATTGTGGGAATTCTAAAGGCCGCAAGATTGACAATGTAGTCATTGTGCAATTGTTCAGATCTTTCTAACTAATGAGCCTGGTTTCCACATTTATGTGGGAAATATTTACAGATAACGATTTGAAATTTGGCACAAATGGCTCTCGGCTTGTACAAAACTTGATATGAGCTTAATCTCGATCAATTAATTGAGAAGTTTCTACTTAAGGCAAAAATGTGACATTTTTATTTTATAATTCCCTTGGCTGCTTATTCCTTTATGAAACCGAGGTGGTAGCAGTTTTGACCAGGGTAGGATTCTAATTTTGATTAACCGAAGTATTTGCCATTCTCAAAGTGGCGCTTCTAATCGAATTTATTTACATAATGATAGTACGCTCTTAGGCAGCCAAATATATCGTTGTTAAAGTTTTAATGATAGATTTATAAATATCCTAATATTTTAAAAATTTGAAAGCCAAAGGCAAAATTTTCCTGTATTCTTGTGCTTCTTCTGCAAGTCGCATATCAACAACAGACGATTGATTCACTGTGTTGATCAACAAACGTTTCAGGTCAACACGAACCATAATAAAGTTTTAAATTATCCTGTATCTTTTTTTTCTTCGTGCTAAATTTCAAGCCAAATTATCGTTATTTAAGTCCGCTAACATTCTAAAAAATAAATTGTGTATTAGATTGCGTTTATAGGAATAAGAATTTTAAATATTTGGCATGGTGTGTTAGATCAGCTGTTTTGCTTTTCAATCTGAGAAAATGGTTGCTGTTTTTAAAAGCTAAAATTTTCTTTGCTGTGTGTCTCTTATACTTTGTTTTTGTTTTAGCTTGGCACAAGTTGCTTTTTGAATTTGCTGAGAATAAAATTCTAGTTTTGAGAGTAAAATTTACTTTGCTTTACATTCCTTATTCAAAAGCTAAAATAAAGTAGAGAAAGCTAAGAGAATTGTTATTTTTGTTTTTTAAATTCCTCACTGCTGGCAACACACAATTAATAACACAATGTACTTATAATGTTATAATTGCTTTTAGTTCGATTGTGAAAAGGTGTGGGTAATATTCGTGCATTTTGTCATTCAAGATCAATTTCTTGCAGGGATTAAACAAAAATTTTGTACAAAAATTTAAAAAAATTTGTCAAAGTTGCAATTGTTCTTAAAAAAAAAAAGCCAAGTGAGGAGAAAATTTAGTTCCGGATAAAATAAAATATCTGTATATCGTATTGCGGCATAGGTGCGTGTGTGTATATAAATATTTTTAAAATACAATATGTTTGTGTTGGTTTAAACGAAGAAGTTTTCAAAGAAAGAAGAAAACAACTAGTTTCTCTGCGAAAGAATTTAAGGACAACTTTCAATAAATTTTCGTTTGCTTTTAAATTACGTTGGGAAATGAAAAATCAAAGAAATTTATAAAAAAAAAAAATAAGATATTTGGTAGATGATGATGTCATCGAATAAGTCTTCTTTTAAAATGTATCAACTGGAATATAAGGCAACAGAAGAAATTTTTTGGGCTAAAGTGATTAAACGACATGTCTTAAAAAAGAAATTCCATGATGAAAGAATGTGCAATTATAAAATCAATGCGAAACGATAATTATAAACATGTTTAACGAGAAATCTATTTGGCTGACAAGTCGAATAGCCGAATGAATTATATTTTTCCACTGACTCAATAAATGCAACAACTCTTTCAATTATTTTATAATACCTATGTGTGCGAAACACATAAGCTAAAGTGCCCAAGCGGCCAAAGATGAAATAATCTCATAAAAGTAGTATAAAGCAGTATAAACAAAAATTCAAATTTAAAAGTCAACATAATGTTTTTCATTTATCTTTTATCTCATCGGACCGTCGGATTATAAGGTTATTCTTATTCAGGTGGCATGTATACATGCAATATACAAGTAAGAAAAATATTAGTAAATTTTGTCGATAATAATTCGTAAAGACAGGTCCAAAATAATACATCTGCGTTAGAAGAGATCTACATTTCTTGTGTTTATTGGCCCGCTGACAATCGTCCAAAGGCGATCGAATTTAATAATCCACGAAAACCTGTGCTCTTAACTGGGTTTTCTGTAATTCTGGTCAAAATTAAGAGTTACAACCTCGAACTGATGAGAGTAGTGTTTGTAATTGTAAAGCTGGCACAAACGTGCCATAAAATTTTATTTACCATATCGCTTGCCAGAAAATCTCTTGCAAATGTCTGCAATCTTTACTAAAGAACATATATTGTACAAATACTTTCTGCGATGAAGTAAAAATCCGAAACGTCTCCCAGCTCTTGTTTAGAATGGTTTGCTCCCCCTTAAATTCGGTTTTCAACACTTATGCATTGAAGTAAACTATTGTAGTAAAATATTGCAGGTCTCCCTTGTACATTTGGTATGTAAAGAGTACACGATGATAATTTTTTGTTTTGTTTCAAAACTTCTTCGTCCTCTGCGAGTCGGCAAATCAATCAATCACTGATTCACTAAAAATTGATACTTGATGTGTGTCTTTGTTTCTAATAGCAACTATGCTGTGCATCGTAGTCTAACAGCTAACACATCTGGTCACTCTAGATAGCATCAACTAAAGCACAGTAAATAAAATAAATTATACCATGTGCCTAAAGAATTGTTATCCAGCAGCGACATACTCACATGTGTTATATATACGTAGTTAATGACAATAAATTCATTGAGCTACCGCAACTAAAATATTTCGCTTTTTTTTTTTGTACTATTCGCTATTGAGGCCTTTTGTGTTAAGCATAGTAAAGTAAATTAAAAAAAATATTTAGTAACCCAATTAAAAAAAAATTGTTTCTTTATAAATATTCAATTTTTTTCATGCTTTTCCACCATTCATCATGTGACAAATCATTATTTTGCGCATAACTATTCTCCAACACGTTTGTATAAAAACTTTATGGTCTTATTTAGAGAATTTCTTAGATATTATTAAGGCACTCCTATCCTTTTACAAAATGCCGAAAAAGAATGAGTCACATTATGTTTGTCATATTGTTTGTAAAGCATCGTCTTATCAGGAGTCGGTATGTTTTTCTAATAACATTACGCAGAATACATTTCTCTCTTAGGGCACCCTATAACAATTTGTAGGAATTGTGTAGAAAGATATTTTCTACTTTGTATAAAATCATTCCTTATTGTATATTATAGTATTTGATTTTGATATGGAAAAGAACGAAGTGCAAATGATTGCTACTTAGCATTTTTAAAAGTCTGTTTGGAACTAGCATCCACTTACGAGCGTTGGTTTAATTTTGAAAATATCTGAATCGTATTTGTAAAGCTCTTAATATTCAAAAGTTAATTATTTGTCTTCCTGTGTCATGCACTTTTTCCAACAATCCAAATGTGACATTAGAATATGACCTTGAAAATTGTTCGCTGAAAATCTGCAACGTAAATTTCAACATATAGAGACCACTGCATGAAAATGCTCGACGCTAATATATGGTGTAACGTCGACCGATTAATTGCTACGCCTATAAATAAATTATTTCAATCACTTGAGGTACAAGGCTATATTAAGTTTATGCGGATATATGCAAAATCCGAAAGGGCTTGAGATACGCACCCACCTTTTATTATGTCGACGAATTCCGTGTCATTTACTGCGATTTAAGCGATTTACCCTTGTCTTTGCCGCTGTCCGTCTCATTTTGTTGTGCTCGAACTACTGGCCGCAATTTTTAAGATATTTTGATGAAATTTTGCACACCGACATGTTTTCGTCAAGATCGAAGAACGCTGTTGAAAATGGTTCGGATCGGATCACTTTTTCGATCACTACCCATATAACGCTGCATTTCGAAAAGTCGTTGCGTGAGTAATTGTAAGGTGGGCTGTGGCGGAGGGTAGGGCATTCAATAAAGGGCTGCGGTCAGCAACGGTGTTTTTATTTATTTTTCATTTGATTAAAGCGGGAGGTATTCAAGATTCGTCCCACAGTTAATATAGCTTTTTTTTAATTGCCTTTTAATAGCGCAAAGTGTAGCACGGAATATGAAATGCAAGTGAGATGAAAATTCTATTATTATTTATTAATTAAAATTAAAATTTATATTAGTCATCAATTGAGGCAATTGCTCTCTTATTTTTTCATTTACATTTAAAAAGGGGGGAAAAAAAACTATTTTGTTTATTTACAGTTTGTACGGTGTTTCCAGGAAAATATTTATAAATTACTTTGCAAGAATTGCTTCCGATGTTGTGGCTTTTAAATAGATGCTGTTTGGAATAAGTTTATTAATTTTTGGGAAAAATCATTACATGTACATGGACATTCTCTCCGAAATGCACGCGTATTCCCTTAATGTATAGCTAACTGACTGCAAATAAAGAAAAAATCTATTTAATAAATGATCTTCACAGACAAGAAAGTCTCCAATCATTCGACGGAAATATTTATAAGCTCAGCGCGTGGCCGGAACCATAACTCCTGAGAAGATCGGGATATTAGATAACGTTCAATGTGCTTTTTGGCACAAATTGCCATTTATATCGTGGCAGTTTTAAAGAGCCATAATTCATCTTTTATGACTTATGGTTCCATGGCATTGAGTATTCAAAGCAAGTCGCCGCCGCTTTCTCCCCTCATCTTGCCATAAAGAAACGGCATGGTTCGTTAGGAAAATGTATAACATATATTAATTTCTTTCTTGCTCGCCCGATAACGGATTGAAGCGTGACACGACCCACCAATAAACACCCTACACCACTTCGCATAACGACTTGGTTATTCACATAACGACTTAATAAGATCTTATATTGGAATCGGTCAAAAAATTGGTCAAATCCGAACCATTGTCACCAGTGTTAGTTTTGCTTATTTCAATAAAATAATTAAAAAAATTGTGACCTGCAGGTTAAATGCATAAAAAAAGAAAATAGGATGGGCGAACAGACAGACAAGCTTAGTTCGATTCACAAAACTACTCTGAACCGGTCGGTGAAAACATGAATTTATATGAAGCCTTTCTGTGCATACATGCCATAGTATAGAAATGAAGAAATCTGAAATCATTGAAATATTTATTTATTGACGATTATGCAATCTCGAAGTCATTAGTAGGGCCTATTATAATAGATTCTCTTTCAATTGCAAGTGACATTCCATATGTCATCGATATAAAAACGCGCGTACTTATAAGTTCAGTCGCTTTGCGTAAAACGTGTTTCTTAATTTTATTATTGTTCTTTGTTGATCGTTTTGATATTTACATTTCTTTTCGATATCAATTTATTTACTGAAATACGTGGGTGTAAAGTAAATAATAAAAGGCAATCTGCCAATTTATTAAAAAAAAAAAAAAAAATGATTTTATGTGAGTGAATGCCTTATTTTCAAATTCGATTCACGGAATTGCGCTGAAAAATATGAAATTGTCTAAGAAATATTTGTCTGTCAGGAGGTCAATGTTCATATATTCAGTTCATAAACTCGTTTAAGTTTACATTTCAGATTAACTAAACATATCCCTTCTAATCCTGATCTTGACATCTGTTCTTATAACGAATCATACCACGATGTGACTCTTAGTCACTTTTGAGAATTTATGGGAATAATTAAAATGTTATTATTTTTGTTTATAGTTTAAATTCACTTATTTATTAAAACAAGTTCAACATAAAAATATAAAATATTATGCGTAGATCATATAGTTTTCTGATTTTGAATGCCATAAAAGAAAGATGAAAGAAAATTTATTTGTTGATGTAAGTTTTGCATAAATTTTGCTTCATTTTATTGATCGTAAAAAAAATTAACAATCATAATGGTGCGGTTATTGGTATCAGACGGTATGCTTAGTCCCTCAACGCATTTCCAACACAAATTTCCGGTTGATTGGAGTCTTTCCGTTCAAGATACGGGATTCTTTTTTGAACATACGGTCGTGCGGCTCATCGCGGTACAATTCGTTATGAAAATGGGGAAAAAGTGATTCTAGTGATAATTGTTAACTTAAAGTAAGGTAAAAAAAAGAAAAAATATTTGGAATTGTCTTATGAAATAGCCAAGAGATCAAAGTTCAAATGATTCTCAAAGGCCCATACTAAAATAAGATTAGGGTTACTAGGATCAGTATTACGTCATGTATACAATATTAGGTTAGTTAAGATAATCTGCTTTTCCCAAATTCTCTGATAGGCTCAGTAGAGTGTGAAGAGGGGTTTGTAATATTATCGGATTATAATACTATCGGAAGAAACAAAGAGGATGCAATGGTTGATAAATTCTAAATGGTCAATGTTAGTACATATTGAAGTAATGAGTGATATATGGTGCACAATAAACATGAAAAGAACTCGACATTATAATAAAGAAAGCTTGCATAGTAAGTTTTGAAATATGTTGCTGCCAACGCACCGTACAATTTAAAAACGCGCAAGTATCACAACAACAAACGATCCGGTTAACTGACGAACATCATTCAAGCCGGTTATATATATGTGGAAGTCGTCCTAGTAAAGCAAAATAAAAGCCTTCAAATTTCTGCTGCAAAAACTGATTCACGTGGCGCTCCCGGAATTCATTTTGAACAGTATTGCCATATGTTAAAAACGTCATTTTTACAATTCCTGGGGCGTAGAACCGAAGAAAAACACATACCTTTATATGTTGTAAGGTTCAAAGTTCTAGTCTCTTGATTCGCCAAGAAGGCTTTGCATCTGTTGGAGCTCCCTTAAAGGAACATTTCTCTTCTGCCGAATTGTTAGTGAATATTCTTGAGCCACGAAGCACTAGCGAGGGTTCCATAAGCTACCTAATAAATGGAAAAGGACTACGTCTATATCGATTATTAAGCTTTGTTTTTATCCGCATGAGAAGGTAAGAGTCGCGACCACCAAGTGTCTGTGTTCGCAAGTTCTAATCTCAATGCTATAACGAGGTTCAAATCCAAAGCCATAACTCTTATCGCTTGGGTCACACATCGCACATCACAAATCTGGGACCGCGGCCAGGTCTCTTTCCTTACAAATTGAACGAATAGAAGACATTACCTGAATGATTGGTCATATAATTATAATAATTAAAAAAATAAAGCTTTATAATAATTACATTTTAAATAGAGTTGAATCTTATCGAAAATACGGAACCACATTTTTGGTAATATAAAGTAAAAGGTTTTTTCTTCCATAGAATTCGGGTCAACATTATCCCAACATTATATAACAGTTTATATTCTAATCCATAGTTAATCTGATTCGCCTGGAAGCAGCATTCAAAACTGGAGTTAAACATTCATTTTCCTGAAATAAAAAAATATTAATTACGGTATTTTCGAATTTTTATTTTTCCAGAGTGAGACAATATATTAAATAATGGATGAAATCAAAGGCTTTTTTGCCAAAGCTGGCAAAGAATTTATGAATGCGGCGGGCGAAGCTGCTATGGGAGCCGCTAAGGATATAGTTGGTTCCGTTATAAATGAAGTTTTTATAAAAAAAGAGGCCGAAACAAAACGTGTCCTACCCAGTATTAAAAATATGCGAGTGGTAAGTTATCGTAATTTAATTTAAAATCGCCTAACAGCCTTTCCTGCTTTCAAAATTTCAAAATTGATGCCTTATCTGAACTAATCGAAAATCCCATAACAAGATTTGGTCACGAACATTGGATCACAAATCTAATCATCAAGTAATCATCCCAATTATCATTATTAATCATTTTCAAGCAATTAAATAATTATAATTTAAATTCTCTTGTAAAAATAAAAAAAAATAAAAAACAAACATACAATTATTTAGTTGGGAGAGAAACCTTTAAGCAGTCACAGACCACATACCGATATACAGGATTTTGAAACGATACGTGGCCAATGCCTAGCGAGCGGTTCATTGTTCGAGGATCCTTTGTTTCCAGCTAGCAACGAATCTTTAATGTTCTCCAGACGTCCCGATCGTTACGTCGAATGGTTGAGACCTCATGTAAGTTTAGAAAAATTTTTGAAAACAATTTTTGTTTTTTTGTATACCCATCACTGTAACATCGGAGTATACTCATTTTGTTTTTTTTCCATAATGTATGTAGTACTCAAAAGGTACCTATAAAGTATATATATTCCTGAGCAGCGTGAAATTCTGAATCGATTTAGCCATGTCTGTCCGTGTGTGTGGTGTTTGTTGTTGGCACCCTCATGGTCGCAAAAATGAAGATATCGACTTCAGATCTGGTAGAAATGTAGCAAGTCCCCTTGCATGCAAGTTGGTATTGAAAATGGACCAAATCGGTCAGAGCAGAGGAACGCAGTGGAGTATAAACTGAACGCAACTCTGTTTTTCTTAACAAAAATTTGTTACTTTTTGCTCCTTACTCTGAAATTATACTTTGCAAAACAGTCTACTCTTTACGTGCAAGAATGGGAAAAATCGGCCATGCCCACACAAAGTTCCAAAGCGATTAAATTATTTAAATAAATATTTATCATAACGCAAATAAGACGGAATGTCAAAAATTCTTGTCTTGATATACTATCTGCTTAAAAATAGGTATCATAGCCACCGCCATCTGGTGGATTAATTCTTTCTTAATACACCTAACGATATGGACGTCAAATAAAAGAGCTTGGAGAGTAGAATGCAAAAAGCATAGTGATGGTGGGTATGCGAGGTTCGGCCTCCGCCGAATATAACTCTCTTATCCGTTTTTATTGTTATTAATTAATTTCTTCTTTTTTTTTTGCTCAATGTTCATATAGGAAATTGCCGACGATCCACAATTTTTTGTTGAGGGTTTTTCTCGGTTCGATGTCCAACAGGGCGAATTGGGTGATTGTTGGCTTTTAGCTGCCACAGCTAATTTAACTCAAGACTCGAATCTCTTCTTCCGTGTTGTGCCACCAGATCAAAATTTCGAAGAAAATTATGCAGGAATATTTCACTTTTGCTTTTGGCAATACGGTAAATGGGTTGATGTTGTAATAGATGATCGTCTACCTACACATAGAGGAGAATTGCTATATATGAATTCTGCTGAGAAAAACGAATTTTGGAGTGCCTTACTTGAAAAAGCCTACGCTAAGTAAGTGACAACAAAATTTCATTTTATTTCATTTCATCCCGTTCTGTTCAGCGTGAAAGAATTGAAAATAATTAAGTGTAAATGGGAATATTTATAGCGATCTACGAATTGCAACATTGAAAAATGTGCGTGTGTGAGCTTCTAAGCGCTTAAGGCGAAACTGTAATAAAGGCGGAAGGTCTCGAAAAAGTTGCGCTATGCTATATGCGAACAACGCTATCTTATGCTCTTCCTTACACACCCATTAAAATAAAACTTTGAATAAAGGCTGAGAACTAAAAGTTACTTATTCAAGAGAGTTCAAAATCAAAATTGATCCATTTTTTCATTCCGTTCTATTGTTTGAAAATATTCAGTGTCCGTAGTTGATAATAAATATGTTTCCGTACGTTCTGTTAATTGCTCTATAGATTGCACGGTTCTTATGAAGCTTTAAAGGGTGGGTCCACTTGTGAGGCAATGGAGGACTTTACAGGTGGCGTTACTGAATGGTATGACCTAAAGGAGGCACCATCTAATCTATTTAGTATATTGGCGAAGGCTGTTGAGCGTAATTCAATGATGGGTTGTTCTCTGGAACCGGATCCAAATGTTTTGGAAGCCGAAACTCAGGAAGGTTTAATACGCGGTCACGCTTATTCGATAACTAAAGTTTGCATGATTGACATTGTGACGCCAAATAGGACGGGACGAATTCCGATGATACGTTTACGTAATCCCTGGGGTAATGAGGCCGAATGGAATGGACCTTGGAGTGATGGATCACCCGAATGGCGCTATATACCGGACGAACAAAAAGATGAGATTGGCTTAAATTTTGATCGTGATGGTGAATTTTGGATGTCTTTCCAAGATTTCTTAAATCATTTTGATCGCGTGGAAATTTGTAATTTATGTCCCGATGCTGCGATGGACGGCCAGCAAAATGCATGCAAACGAAAATGGGAAACATCAATGTTCGAAGGCGAATGGACACCGGGTGTAACAGGTAACAGGTTAATTACATAATTATTTAATTTAATATTAATTAATTTTACAATATTGGACAATTTTTCTTCATAGCTGGGGGTTGTCGAAACTTTTTGGAAACTTTTTGGCATAATCCACAATACGTTATAACATTAGAAGATCCCGATGAAGAAGATGATGACGGCAAGTGTACCGTTCTAGTAGCTTTAATGCAAAAAAATCGTCGTTCCAAACGTAACTTGGGCATGGAGTGCTTAACTATAGGCTTCGCCATATATCATCTAACCGATCGAGATATGCAAACACGTCCACAAGGTTTGAATTTCTTCAAGTATCATGCTTCGGTTGCTAGGTCACCTCATTTTATAAATACCCGAGAGGTAAGCTAATCGTTTTAAATAAATCTGAAACTCATGCTAACAGATAAACTTTGATGTACATGGATGGAATTTAGGTGACGGCACGTTTTAAATTGCCTCCCGGTCACTATTTAATTGTACCGTCCACATTCGATCCTAACGAGGAGGGTGAATTTATAATACGCGTCTACTCTGAAACACGAAACAACATGGAGTACGTACCGTGTTATGAAACATTTGATTAATATTAATTATTATTTAATACATTTTGATCGATAAAGTTCACATATGCACATATAAATATACACGTTGTTATATAAATGAATGAATGGGTGCTTGAAAGAATGAAAGAACGAACATACAATGCATGAATATGAAATAAATTTTCTTTCAAACTTAAAGGTAACGTAGTTGAGGGGTAACGGGCGTTGGTATAAGATAGCTTTCAAATTGAAATATCTGCGGTTTCTGTTGACTTTGGGATCTAGATAAAATTTAGCAGTGAACATGACAATAAATGAAGGTTTCATAAAAAAAAAAAATAAATAAAAAAATATTGTATTTGATACACAAGCAGACACATCGACACACAACGGCACACAACGATCCCCTTCTACTCTACTATCAAAACAATTTATTTGAATAGATGGGAGGGATATCTTAAAATTGTACATGTATGTGTATATGTATGTTTTTATTATGTAGTTCTCTAGAGAGCTCTAGCTACTAACCACTTGTTGATATTTTTTTATTAAATATATATTTTTTTTTTTTATAATTTTTTGTATTTTCTTTGTTTTTAAAATAAATGTTAAATGTTTAACTTATTTTAATATTCTTATGAGATTTTAATGCGTTTCGAAATAATTATAGAGAAAATGATGATCACGTCGGCTATGGTGAAGATGAAAACAATGACAATAACGCTAGAGTAAGTACAAATTTTGTCCACACGTTATATCATTATTCCCCGTAGAGTATATATGTTGAACTTTCACTCTGTATATTTGTAAAGATGTTTACCGATATGTAAATATTTGAATGTTGCTGTAGTTTGCATTTTAGTGATTCTATTCGTTTTCTTGGATAGCTTATGCTCTTCTCTCTTTCCTATTGATTTTAATTTTATTGTTTCGACAAATATATAAAATTATGATTTCAGCTTTATCCCAGTATGCCATCGCCGGTTAAGCCCGTAGATCCGCAACGTGATGCGCTACAACGTCTTTTTAACAGCGTGGCTGGATCAGATATGGAAGTCGATTGGATGAATTTGAAAAGAATCTTGGATCATTCCTTACGAGATGGTATGTGTCTGTTTCACTTTTTTTTTTTTTTTTTATTTCTTATGAATTGTTATCCTTATACGTTTTTGGGTTTCCAATGGGGTAATCACATGTCTACAGAATTACTTATAATATATGTTGTAATTATGCTTATAAGTGTACATTTACTTGTATTCCCCTGTATTCCCCTGTATTATGGTCTTTAAGTAGGAAATGTTCGAGGTTCAATGCGACTGTGTCCACAAGATTCAAAAATGATTGCACGTTAAAATCTTTTTTTGCCGGGTTATCAGCCAGTGCTAAGCGTAAAATTTTTTTTTTTTTTTTTAAATTGCTTTCGTTGGAGCATGAAAAGTGCTAATCGACGACATTTCGGGGACATCTCATCACGCTGGGATTTTGCACACCCTATATGGCTCCGATGAAAAAGCAATGTAGTACAGTTGCTATTCGATTGTATTCAAAATGGCGGATTGCCATCTTCTGCCCTGAAATGGGTGTTAAATAAGAGACTATGGAGAGTAAAATACAGATGACATTACGTAACGGGTTAATCTTTTCTTAATAATTCCCTCAAGATAAATGTCAAGAAAAAAGCGCTTGGACAGTAGAATGCGAATTGCAATGGACTCGAAAGGAAAAAAATTATTTTATAATACAAACGAAAGCATTATAGGGATGCACCGCCTACCATCAAATACTCTACATCACTTCACTTAGTGCAATTATCCGTAAGACAACTTTTCAAAATGAGGTGTTATTTGGAAGCGGTCGACAAAGCGACTTGATTCGAATTATTCCCAATAGCGCACGTCCTTGGGTCAAAATAAGCAAATGTTTCACTAAATATCAATAAAATATCTCATAAATTGCGTTCTGTAGGTAGGACACAAGAAAAGAATGCGGACATGCAAGCTTAGGTCGGCGTAATAAAAGATGGGTATATCCTAAACTCATTCGGAGTGTTGCGCTCAGCTAAACAAACTCGCAACTAATTTTTTCCAATAGTCTTTCTTATCCGCCTATACTTAGAAGCTTATCGTAAAAAAATTTTATATTAAAGTTTGGAAAGTCGATGTCTTATTTTTAAATTTGTAAGAATACTTTTAAGAAATTTTCTCCTCCACAGATTAAGCTTTCAGCTTGTAACTATGATATGAATAGATGGGAAAATGAGTAGGCATGACCCTTGTAACTGCTCTATACAGTCTCCGATGTAACTTTTTATTCGTTGCGAATTTTAAACACTCGTGTAGGGTAATTAGAAAAGTTTTTTTTCTCTTGGAGGGATGCACACCATTAAATCAATGTATAACCTTGAAACGTGTAGCATTACGGGATGTTTGAATCACATTTCTTGATATTATGCACGATATTTTAATGTACGAATGTGCTGATAATCCTAATTACACCGCGTGTATATATACAGTTTACAATATTTCTAGTAAACAACCACATTGACCTTCAAAATGATTTAATTTAAAGAGAAATTGAGAAATCGACTTCAAATTTGCTTTGGTATTGAAAATGGGACAAATCAGAAAGATAAAATTCGTTTGTATAAAAGTTTCGGCAATGATTTGTTCGACGCTAAAAGTGGAGAATAAAATGGATATTTTGTGATAATGTTTCTCTACGCGTCTACTCACGGAACGGAATGCTGACCTGCGCGCAAGAATTTCCAATGATTTCACCAAAAATTGAAGTAAATGTGTTCATATTTGAGACCAGGAAAACATTTGCAATAGACAGACACACGGACGGACATGCTTAAATCGATTTACAATTACATGCTGATGTACACTCTGCGAGGTCTCCGATGAACGTTTTGACAAAGTAAATAGGTAGTTGCCATCCCAAAGGTATGGAGTTGCCATTTTCCTCGAAAATTGAGGCTTTGATATAAACATATTTTTTTCATTAGTTATTGTCCATTTCATATGCTATCATCTCGAATACGAAAATTTGATTTAAAAAGACTTAGCTGAGTATCTGGGTTCTCTGAGTATCGGTTGCGCTTGCTATTTGTTTTTTTCATCGCTGCTTGTGTGCTGTGGATAAAACAATTCATTTGCTTGAATAGTTATCTGAAAAAAAAACCGAAAATAACTTTTCGCAGAATCAATCGGACATTTCATGCTTTTTGATCTGATAGATCCAAGAATCGCCTTGAATCCTTGTATGTAATCCTTTAAAATCGCAGTAAAAAACCTGAATGACTACCACTAGATCGTCTCTAAATCTTTCATTTGTAGATTTTTGATAATCAGTTGGATTTGTAATGCATGATGCTGTAGTAGTAACTTTTCGTTTTTTAATTTAATTTTTGAAAAACGGAACAAAGCAAACAAGTAAAAATAAATCACACTCATACTCTTACATTTTTATTTATTTGCACAAATATTTAATAGATACATAGTTAAATCAGATATAATGAAAATTTTATTCCATTTTTTCCGGTTTTTTTTTTTTTATTACCCTCCTTCTTTTTCATACATTTTCCCAACCAAACAAAACACGTACGGCTTGACAAATCCAAATATGCATTCATATGTATGTATCTGTAGATTTGCCAAAGAGTTCCGATATAAGCGCTCATACACAAAGGGAAAATTTCGCGCCACTGTCAAAGGAAAATGGTGAAGCGCCGAATGCTACCACCACCGCTCTCGATGGTGGTAACATCGTAGACACATTGATTTCACTCATTTGTGGACTATGTAATAAAAATACTTTAGACGATATGCTCGGACTAGATGAGCAAAATAACACAGCCAGCCAACGTCTCGTAGATCAAATTACTACAGACGACCCCAATAATTCCGGTGAGCTCCAGTTGCAAAAAAAAAACAAAAAAAAAAAATTTTTTTTTTTTACACTTTGTTTAAACTTATGTAATAAAATTAAATTATTTTTTTTTTATGTTAGTGGTGTCGGTAAAATATACATTCCGGACCCTCTTTTTAAGTTAGACAGTCGAGCATGAGTAACTAACTGAATTGAAATAGAACTGCAAGAGAACCGTTCTTCTTGTTTTGTTCCTCTTTCTTTTATAATACTAAACATTAATTGTGTTCCACAGTAAATTGATTCATCAGCTAATCGAGTTTTAATGATCTTTTTTGCAGTTATGATAGCCAATCCAGAAGGTTTCTCTAAGGATGTTTGCCGTTCTATGGTGGCCATGCTAGATGCGGATAAGTCTGGTAAACTGGGTTTCGAAGAATTCGAAGCCTTGCTTACAGACATTGCCAAATGGAAGGCGGTCTTTAAAGTCTACGATGTCTATAAGACAGGTTGGATCGATGGCTTCCAATTACGTGCCGCCCTAAGTTCAGCTGGTTATCACCTGAACAATCGCATTCTAAATGCTTTAGTACATCGCTATGGTTCAAGGGATGGAAAAATTGCATTTGATGATTTTCTTATGTGCACCGTCAAAATCAAAACGTATATGGGTAAGAATACTACTTGGAAGCAATAGGTTAATTAAATACAAATACAATTGTCGGTGAATGAATGAATGCATTAGATTGCATAAGCAGGATTGAAGGTCCAACTACTCTAGCGAGTAATTCTCCCTTAGAGGAAACATCGGGGATCACCTGCGCCGCTTCACTTTAAGTTGAAAGTAATTGACGTCGTGGAACTGACCTTCGTTCGGAAAAGAGAACCATGAGTTTCAACTGAACTTTAATACGCAGCGCTTTTGTTTATAATTCTTCGCTTAATTCTCTCCTTTCGCCCAAACTTTGTATGAACCGATAAAGGTTTCTTTACGTCTCTAAAGAAAAATAATTCGAAGAAAGAACTGGGCACGATAAGTATATCGATGCCGGGATCAAGCAATGATGTAAGCTTCTCGCGTCGCGTCAATTTTTACAACGTTTCGATGGATTGCCTCTCTATGACAGTGTTGACCATACTACACCTTCTGAGGAAAATATTGCGCTCCCTACTTACTTCAAAGAAATGATGACAGATGATGAAAAAATGAATAAGTCCTCGATAATCCGTAGCTTTAAAACTCGTATCGAGTAAGCCTGAGGAACATTCTGACGCAAAGAAACTGTCATTGGTGACAAGCCTTTAAAATTCGTCCAAGAAGCAATAGGTTTTACCGCCCTGCTATTCTAATATTCATTAGACATTGCTCTTTCAAATCCCCACTTATTTCAATTGACAACTTAGACCACAACTAAATAGTGTTTCCATTTTTATGACGATAACATATCGCTTTCTCGAAAACTCTTTGAAAGACAAATTGCTCTTTTGATAGCTCACCACTAACCCTTTTCTATGAATAGAGACTTTGTAGGTGCGCAAGCGTTGGTTACTTGCTATAGATTTCCTTAGTGCCCCTTTTTGTGTGATTAGATTATGGAATAAATTGTTGTGACGTCAGCTTTATATTTAACAATTTTGCCTTAAGTCTTTTAAGTGCTACGCTATCATAATATACACACAATTTAGTTTCTGTTACCAGATCGCAAACAAAAAAGTATATCTAAAATAAATAAAAAGAAATTTTACGTCTAAGGCAGCATATGTAGTAAAGTTGATGGGATTCATAATTTTATGATTCATTTTCTTAGTTCTAATATGCTAATCAAGATACACCTATATTTATAGGTATGCGTTGCGTTCTACGTTTATGTTTTTGAAGGTCATAGTTACGGTGATTGTTATCGACTGTGTTGCACTAAAGCGCACTGAGTCATATTCTCTTTTAGATACCTTATGAAATGACTATCAAAGTTGCTATCAAGAGATCGCAGATCAATTCGGTTTGTCATTCTGTTAACATAACCTATAAACAAAAATCCGCTACAACACCATGAGAGCGTTATATATTGGTTATTGGACCAAAGTCAATTTGCGTCGGCTTACGGTCTTGAAGTTCTGCACGATAAACAAAGCGTTAGTGTAAAAAAATATCGAAGTCAAGAGTCAAAAATCTAAAACTTCACTGCTTAAGTGCTTACAAACCTATAACACTATTTAAGGTTTTCGCTTAAGTCACTCGTCATTAATTTTGTTTGCTTCTTTGGGAATTTCAATAAGAGGCAAGGGCAAAATTTCCCCTAAATTGATGCGCAGCCTCATCTAATCTTTGCCACTTACAAACTAACATGATACAAATGCTATAGAAACTCAATATGCCCTCAATTCCCGGTAGCGCTAAGACATATAACGCCATATCACGTATATTTAATAATATTTCGATGTTATTTATCTAGAAAAAACCTGTCATAAACTGAATGCAACAAACTTGGTATATATGCGAACTTACCTCTCTCCCTTTAGGCGTAGAAACTTTTTTTATTTCTATGACATGAATTGTATTTAATAGGAAATGCTAGCAAAATTCCTTAACTAGTCAAAGGCGTTATACAATGATTGATTTTATAAAAAAAGTTAACTTTTCATTAATATTCTCTACATCAATAGAGATCTTGTTATGCTATTTTCTCCCTTTTTTCTTTCAGATATTTTTAAGGACAAAGACACAGAAAACACAGAAACTGCTACATTTACTATGGACGAATGGATTGAAAGTACAATCTATTCATAATTTTTTTTTTGCGTTTGCTTTTTTTTTCGAATCTATTATATGTACAAAATATTTCAAAAAGAATCCAAAAATATCTTCTTTTTATTCGCTTTTATTAACTACGTAAGCGAATTATATTACGAAAGCCTTACGTGTTACTACTTTTTTAAAAATATAACAAGAACAACAATTATATAAATAATTTATATATATATTCGGATATCGAAGTTTTCACAATAACTTCTTAAAGATACTTTTGTTATTGGCAAAATAATATACAATAAATTCTCTATCTGTTTATTTAATGAAAATATTTCTACTGAGTTTTGTTGTGTACTTTCTAATACTAACTAAGAATTTACGAGCAACGAAATAATGCGTTAGAGTTGAAAAAATAAATTTATTATAAATACGCTGTTCGAATGTATGGTGGATTTTGATCTTTTTTTTAAACGAACTTATGCTCTTGAAAACCCTACAAGGTGCATTTCATCCAAATCTCCAAACGAAAACCTGCGTAACAGTGGCCTATATTATATTTTCTGGGTTTTCTGCCTTTGTGTATTGGTTATTTGGATTTCGCCTGAAATTACTTTTCCTTTCAAATTCGGGAGAAAAGCTTAGAAATCTTGGACTTTGGCAAATTTATTAATTTTGCAAAAAGATAATTTTTTTTTTTATCTTTGGATTGTTGGGTAGAGATGGACTAATCCAATAGATTTGTGGCTTATATGTCAAAAGAAGACTATTTTCGATCACAAAAAAAAAATAAAAAATCAAAGGAAGTAAAATGGCCTTTTTTCAAAGGTAAATTGCTTCAATAATAAAATCGTAAAATGTGTGTATATTCTCATAAAAGAATTGTTAGAGAGAATTTCTTGACGCCGTTCCAGTCTTGATTTTGGCTACCTTGTTCTCAAATTGTGTTGAGCAAAGCCTTTTGTGTTTATTGTTACAAATTGTTTACATTTCAAAAGTAAGACCATCTGAGTTAAATTGCTATGAGCATACTTCAACAGGTATGTTTCAACAAACTTGTTGTTACCGTAACAGGCAGAACTTTCCGGTGACTCTAACATCATTTTCACGTCAATGGCTGCTGCAGGTGTCAGTCAAAAGCGGTTGATTTGTCATTGAGGGGTTAATTTTGAAATCGTTTATGATTTTCATATAGTTTTACATCTGAGAATTATTTTAATAATTTAATAAAACATCACGGCGTTTTCTTCTTTTTTTTTCTCTTTGAAATTTTATTTCATAATTTTAGATGATATTTTCTTTGAATTGATTTTCTTTTTGGTGGTTGTTTTAAAATATTATGGTTTAATTCTAATGTGGTAACATCACAAAACATCTATCAAAGTAAACTGCCTCTTTTATGTTGTATGGTAACACTCCTTTCAGAAATATAATTTTACGTGCGTGTCAGGAATAGAGTTTTTTTATATAAAAAAAGGGAATTAACTCATCATGTCGCGTTTTTTTGCTACCGGTTCTAATTCAGAATCTGAGTCTGGAGAGGAAGAAGTTCAAGCACCAACTTATGCTAAGGCTGCAGCTTATCAATTCAGCGATGAGGAAGAAGAGGTTAAGCGCGTGGTTCGGTCAACTAAGGAGAAACGATATGAAAATTTAACAGCGTTAATAAAAAATATTCGAAATCATAAGAAAATTAAGGATATGTCTAGTATCCTGACAAGTTTTGAAGATTTAACTCGTGCCTATCAAAAAGCGCTGCCAGTTATATCTAAAGAGGAAAATGGCATAACGCCGAGGTTCTATATCCGTTGTCTGGCCGAATTAGAGGATTTCATTAATGAGGTATGGGAGGATCGAGAGGGTCGTAAAAATCTATCAAAAAATAATTCAAAATCATTAGGTGCGCTGCGTCAAAAAGTACGCAAGTACATAAAAGATTTTGAAGAAGAATTAGGTCGATTCCGTCAAAATCCTGACCAGGAAAGTGATGCGGAAGAGGAGGAACCGGTAACCTACGATTCTGATAATGATAAAGATGACCAAACATCTGATGACGCTTGCCGTGATATTAAACAGCTACCAAGTGAGCAAAAGCCTGTTAAAGCTGCTGCCACAAAACAAGATCAGGATCAAGATGAGGATGACGATGATGATTCCGTTGATTGGGGATCGGATTCGGAATCTGAGTCTGAATCATCAGACGATGATAACCAGTACGTGAACATACGTGATCGCTTCTTGAAAAGACCAACGACTGGAAAAGAGGAGAAAGATGACCGAGAAGAGCGCAAAAAGGAAAAGCGTGTTAAGGAAGCCAAAATACGTCGCAAACGGGCCGAGGAAGATGCCGACGAAGACGGAGGATGGGAAATCGTTTCTAAAGGTCCGATCATTGAAAAGGCAGAGATGTTCGAGAAAGACGCTGAAATCGATGCTCCTCTCGTGCTATCAAAACTCAATGAAATTATATCTGCCCGCGGCAAAAAGCGTACTGATCGCCGTATGCAAATAAATATGCTTTATGAATTGCGTGAGATAGCCAACAAACATTCGTTAAGTGTGGCGGTTTCTGTGAAAATTCACTTCAGCATAATTTCATCTATTTTCGATTACAATCAGAAAATATCCGAACCAATGAAATTGGAGCACTGGGCCAAACTTCTTGACGTCATGCAAAGCATGATGAAGCTATTACTTGCAAATGATGATATTCATATGAGTGAGAATATATCCGAAGAGAATGAGGAATTCGTAAATCCAATCTATTTTATACGCGGCTGTCCGCTGGCTGCTGTCGAACGCTTGGACGATGAATTTACTAAGCTCTTGAAGGAGTGCGATCCCCATTCTAATGACTACGTTGTTCGTCTTAAAGATGAAGTCACTGTCACTCGCATTATTGAAAGTGTGCTTGAATACTTTGAACGCGTTGGAAACAAAAACGAGCGTTGTCGCATTTATTTACGCAAAATCGAACATCTTTATTATAAATTTGATCCAAATGTTTTGAAACGCAAGCGTGATGAACTGCCACCCACTGTTACAACTTCCGTTGAGGTAATGGATCGCCTCTGTAAGTTCATATATGCGAAAGATGACACAGATCGTATTCGCACTCGGGCAATTTTGGCTCACATTTATCATCATGCTTTGCATGATAACTGGTTTCAAGCACGCGATTTAGTGCTTATGTCGCATTTACAAGATAACATAGATGCCGCAGATCCATCTACTCGCATTCTCTATAATCGCATGATGGCGAATCTGGGCTTGTGCGCTTTCCGGCAAGAAAACATCAAAGATGCCCATCATTGTTTGGTAGATCTAATGGTTACAGGCAAGCCAAAAGAGTTATTAGCTCAAGGTTTATTACCTCAACGTCAACATGAACGTTCGGCCGAGCAAGAGAAAATCGAAAAACAACGCCAAATGCCTTTCCATATGCATATTAACTTGGAGCTTCTCGAGTGTGTTTACCTTGTTTCGGCAATGCTTATTGAAATTCCTTATATAGCAGCACATGAATTTGATGCCCGCCGCCGTATGATTAGCAAAACATTTTATCAGCAACTACGTTCCTCGGAACGTCAATCTCTTGTAGGGCCGCCAGAATCTATGCGTGAACATGTTGTGGCAGCTGCAAAAGCTATGCGTTGCGGAAATTGGCAAGCTTGCGTGAATTTCATAATTAATAAAAAGATGAATGTGAAAGTCTGGGATCTCTTCTACGAATCTGATCGCGTTCGTGAAATGCTTGTTAAATTTATAAAAGAAGAATCATTGCGTACTCATCTATTCACTTATTCTAATGTATACACTTCTTTAAGTATTCCATCGTTGTCGCAGATGTATGAGCTTCCCGTGCAAAAGGTTCACTCGCTTATCAGTAAAATGATAATAAATGAAGAATTAATGGCAAGTTTGGATGATCCAACCGAAACGGTGGTCATGCATCGTTCAGAACCGTCGCGCCTACAGGCCCTGGCTATGCAATTTGTTGACAAAGTTACAAATTTGGTGGATGTGAATGAGAAAATATTTGACATGAAACAGGGCAACTTCTTTCAACGCGGTAATATGGGCAATCGCGATCGTGGTTATAATCGCAATCAGAATAATCAAGGCGGTGGAAACTGGGGCGGTCAACGACGTGATAATCGCAGTCAACGTCAACGTAATCAACGCAATCAGCACCATCATCATAAACAACAACAGCAGCAACATCAACAACAACAAAATCAACACCACGAGCAGCAAGTTCAACAAGTCATTGAGGAGGAGTAAACGTTCACAAGTTGTGAGGAACACGAATTAATTTAATCAAAAATCGGTTGTCATTAACTATATTTAAATTATGTATAACTGTTCAGAATTCGCAGATCACATTTGTACATGAGCTCCCGATCTGAAAGCAGGCTATTTTTCTTATACGTGAAATGTCTGCTTTGGATCGGGAGCTAGTTGTGCAATGATAATTAATGATAATTATTTAGACCATTGTTGTGTTCCTCTGAAATCAAATATATAAGAAAGCAAAATCATTTTTAAACAAAATTTATAATATTTGAAACGCCTGTTCCAATAAATTACTAACATTTTGATAATTAAGAGCAGGTAAAAAAACTACATTCAATTTCTCAAGCATTTTTTAGTCTGTCAAGACAAGGCAATACATAGAAACTTTACACTCTTTTACCAGTGATTCAGTTCCAGACAAGATTTTTAAGAATGAATTCTTAGGTAGCTTTGGTAAGCATATATATTTTGATGGTGGTTAGGGGATAAAACACTATGCATTTTTCAATTGGTCAAAAGTTTTAAATGAGATAACGGGGTTCAATCTTATTCTTTGCTCAGTATTCTTGCTCATGGCTCAAGTTGAACGAGTTCACCAATTGGTTTTTTTTGTATTGCGGTAGTTATTTGGCGACACTATTGAAAAATTACAATTATTTGGAACTTAGGGTATATATCTTCTAAATAGGAAATGTTTCGTGCATTTTCTCATCCAATCCGGGCACGACAAATGAAACAAGTTGCAAAAAATCGACATATGTGCTCACCTTAACTGCAGAAAGAAGAAAGTGAAAACGGCAATAACGATGCTGGAGTCTCAAACCGAACAGCGAACACCCAAGAAATGACGTTCACTAGGTATAAATAAATATATATATAAATTTGACAAAATCAAACGTTTATTTTTTTGGTATAGGTTGCTTGTTCTTCTTTCCTTTTGGTATAGGTTGGTTGTTCTTAACCGCATGTATGGCGCGGAGATTTTGAAGGCTGTAAAAATAATAGGAAAAGGCCAAGCCGTAAGAAAATTAAAAACATTGAAAAAAACGTAACCAACATTTTAAAACTAACGAAAAAGTGAAATGAGCGGCGTAAGTTAATAAATAATAAATTTAATTCTCCTTCTGTTCGGCAATTCAACAAGTGGAAATTCGCTGGGAAGCGTAAAAAAAAAAGAAGCCCAATGTGAATACAGAGTTCTTTGTTTGAGCTTAGTTTTGGTACATAATTCTTATTAGTTATTTACTTTATTATTTCTTTTGATTAATTTTGTTTGGTTAATGTCTTGTTAATTTTCCGCCAAATTATTTTTTTAAATTTAATTAAATTATGAAAATTACATTGTATAAAGTGTCATAAATTATTGTTATAATTTATTTGATATTTATGTTAATTAGAAAGACGAAGGTTAAGAACAATCAGAAACATTCAAATATTGGCAATTTAAAACTTGAAGAACATCTTTTCTTTTCAAATTTGAAACAAAAAATGTAGATATGGTAGGTCTGGCAGAGCTGGCAGGTGGCAGGTATGTTTAAAATCAGCTGTTTATATCGTTTGTGTTGTTTGTGTGCTCTCTAAGCTCTCAGCTATTTTATTTTAATTTGAAAGTTTTTGTACTTGGTTAGCTGCTAACTCTGCATTACGCAATTTAAAAAATCATTGTGACGTGGAGAAAATTTATACATAAAGATTTTCTATTATTTGAAAGCAAACAAATAAGAAAAAGAGAAAATGCCTTGCCCTTTCTTGACACGTCTGGGAGCCAATTTCGTACGCAATTATGGCGAAAATTTGTATCAGGCCTACGGCCGTTTTTGTCCAGTACTAAGGAATAATGGTCAAGCTGTTTTGACAAATGAAATGGGCCAAGTCGAGTTGCCAGCAATTAATATTGACATTGCTCGCCCGTACGCTACTTCCAACATTAGTACCAAAGTGGATGAGGAGCTGACAAAAATGAAAGAAGTTGTCCAAGAAGTCAAGGAAGAGCCTACGCCGACACCGACAACAGTAGAAACTGTAGCCGCCAAGGCTAATGAACAATTCGGCTATGAAAACTTTTTCCATGATCAAATTATGAAGAAGAAACAAGATCATTCCTATCGCGTTTTCAAGAAGGTAAACCGCCTAGCTGGTTCGGGCTTGTTTCCTCACGCTCTGGAATATTCGACTCGGGAGGAAAGGCCTATAACGGTATGGTGTGCTAACGATTATTTGGGTATGTCCGCCCATCCTCGAGTTAAAAAGGCAGTGGCCGATGCTTTGGAGCGTCATGGTTCTGGTGCGGGTGGCACTCGCAACATTTCGGGTAACTCTCTACATCATGAGATGTTAGAAGCGCGCTTAGCGAAATTACACGAAAAGGAAGCAGCTTTACTTTTCACTTCTTGTTTTGTGGCTAATGACTCGACTCTATTCACTTTGGCCAGACTTTTACCTGATTGTCATATATTTTCGGATTCAGGCAACCATGCGTCTATGATCCAAGGAATACGTAATAGCGGTGTTAAAAAGCATATATTCCGTCATAACGATGTCGAACACCTTGAAAGTATGATTTGCAAGTTAGATAAGAGGGCGCCGAAAATTGTAGCATTTGAAACTGTACATTCAATGACTGGTGATATTTGTCCTTTAGAGGAACTGTGCGATGTGGCTCATCTTTATGGAGCCATAACTTTCGTGGACGAAGTCCACGCGGTAGGCTTATATGGAGAACATGGTGCTGGTATAGGCGAACGAGACGGTGTTATGCATAAAATGGATATCATTTCGGGCACATTGGGAAAAGCTTATGGGAACATTGGCGGTTATATTGCCGGTTCGTCAAATTTGATTGATATGATACGTTCCTATGCTGCTGGTTTTATATTTACAACATCTTTACCACCGACGGTGTGTTGCGGCGCTTTGGAGTCTGTGGAAATTCTGGCTTCCCAAGAAGGTCAAGAGCTTCGTGCTCTGCACCGTAGAAATGTCTGCTATTTACGTAATCTGCTAAAAAGAGAAGGTAAATAAAAAAAAGAAGTACGGTATATAAAATGTGTAAGACCGTAAAATAGCTTCTGTGGAACGTCCAGTTAGGGCCAAATGTGACAGTTATGTCAAAACGGATGGAATACAGACTTGGCACAACCATCTAATAAACCCCAAAACGGATTACATTCGTTTACTGACAATGAATAGAAAATCGAAGTGACCTCGAAAAATCCAAGATTTGACTTGAAATTTGATCAGAATCTACAGAATTAAAATCATGTTTAAAATTAAATTGTTCTGACTCTGTTGTGACACAAGGTTCCAAGGGTAGAATTATAAAGCCTTCTATTGGCTCACAGTGTTTAGAAAAGTATTTGACAACTGAGGTAGACCTTGACGCGAATACATTTCTTTTATGTATATTTGATAAAAATCTCTTTTTCTTTGTCAGGTTTTCCAGTTGAGGACACACCTAGCCACATTATACCCATACGTATAGGCGATCCCTTGAAAACTTCCAAAATATCGGATCTACTAATGTTCACCTTTGGCCACTATATACAGGCAATTAATTACCCGACGGTAGCTCGTGGTGAAGAAAAATTACGTTTGGCTCCTACACCATTCCATAACATTGATATGATGAATCAGCTTGTACAGGATATGAGAAAAGTTTGGGAGATGCTGGATATGCCTTTGAAAAAACAAATACAACAACAACATCATAACAGTAATATGTCGATGCAACAACATTACACCAGTAGTGCTGCTGCCAAGAACACAAAAAATAATATCAATGTTTTAATATAAGAAAAGGGGCAACAGAGAGAGAGAGAGAGAGAAAGAGAGAGGGCGACACATTAACATGATTGTTTGTTTGTATTTTGGTGGCTAGTGCATTAAATAACAAGGTATTAAATAATATGTTATTTGGTTTTTAACTTTTTTTTCGGTGATTGGTGTTATTCGATTATTTTTCTTAACAAAAAAAAAGCATTCTAACATAGTATGTGTTCGGTGTAATTTGGTGCTCAAAAAAAAAAAAAAATATATATATATATATATATATAAATATAGGCGCATACATATATGTGTATGTGTTGCGTTATGTACAAGTACATATTTAACATCTCAAGGTCGTTCGTTCTTTGTTATTGATGTTGCTTTTTAATGCAATTGGAAAGCAACAGGTTTTTTTTGTTGTTATTATTATTATTATTTTGGCTTTTTTTTTTTGTTTTTTGATTATTTAACGTAAAATTGATTGGATATGGGTGGCAGTAGCATTTTCTAGAAAACGAGCAATAAAAATTAAAATAGCAAAGCAATAAAAAGTTTCAATTGTGTTTTTTATTCTAATCACTTGCATACGTAATTGATTACTTTATATGCAGAGCTCTTTATTCTAAAGGTTTATGTGATTTCGAATACGTAAACATTTTAAGATACGCATAAAAGCAAAGATTTCCGTTTTCATTTCTCTTATAAAATAGTCAGGGCGTCGATTCAATCAAGAGTTAGTATTTGAAAGACACTTTTAGACTCCACGTACCACTGCAATAGTAATTAGTGGTTTTCTTTAGTAATGACAAAGTAAACTATTTGAAGAGTCCCATTATAATGGCCATTGCAAAGATATATTAGAATATTTATTATTCATGAAAACAGTCAAGTATGATTTATTACCGAGCTATTCTAATGTGCTTTTTTTTAGTGTAATTAGTCAGGTGACGATGAGTACTTAGTTTTCCTGCTTTAGAATTCTTACGTCATTTGGTGAATAATAATAAACGTTTTGACAGCAGAATGTTATTTAACTTAACTTAAGTTATAGCAATAACGCTAAGAAGCTTTCGGGGTTGAAGACCTTGTAAGAAAAGGAAAAAGGATGTTCCCGTAAAGAGAAATGTCCTCATTACATCAAATGTCGTCCTACTCAATTTTTAAAACTTATAAGCAATTTACAAATAATGACGTAACCAGAGGTTCTTACTTAAGAGTCGTTTTTCATTCCAATCTTCTTTTTTTTTTGCTTTTTTTTTCAATCCAATACAAAACAAATGGTAACATTATAGCGGGACGGGGCCCACCATTACTTTCATACTTCTATTCATATGACTTTTCAAAATAGCGCACGTAGTCGGAAAAGTGGCCAAATCCGCACCACTTTCCATAATATTCGTCCTTGAGATAAAACAGGTAAAAAAAAGCAAAAAAAAATTCGGTGCAACAAATTTCTTAAATATATTTCAAAAATTGGGACCTGTAAGCGGAACATAAGACTACAGTCGTACGGACAGACTGTCGAAGATTAATGCAAAAAGAGTTTCTGAATAAATCGATGGGTCTATCTCAAGTCTTTTCGCTATTATAAGACCCTATGTCACGGGTGGCGAAGAGTATGAAGTAGGAAAAGTATATCCTCAACTGGAGACATGCCAGTTAGACAATAGAAAATAGTTTTTCAAATTATTCGGTGATCTTCTCCAAAATGGGTATCCGAAATTTTTCGATGAATATCTGCTGCAGAATTCGGACTCACCAAAACATTGCATATTCTTCGTCGTAATATTATGTTTTTAAGTTCAGCATATGCTACGAATTCCATTCAAAAGCTAATGGCAGTGTTAAAACTTATTATAAAGGAGAACAACTATATTGTTTTACATGTACATGTAATGACTTGCAAACTTTTGTAGATGTTTTACTATGTTTTTCCACTTCGTTGCTATAACAATTTCAAGGTTTTGAAAGTCTTGTGTAAAGTTTTGCAAAACAAATAGAAAAAATTTCAATCAAACACAAGTTCACCATCGTTTACAAATGTAACATAAGAGGAAGACTATCAATTTCATTATACTCGGAATAAACTTCCTAGCACTATGGGAATGTTTAATAATTTTCTACATTTACTCAAAATCAACAAAGAGAAAATGACTGTTTTGGTAGTGGGTCTTAATAACAGTGGCAAGTCGACTATTATTAATCATCTGAAGAAAAAAACGCATGAACCAGGTTCAAATATTGCGATACCGACAGTGGGTTTTAATATCGAAGAATTTTATAGTAAGTCATAAAAGCTGTGTATTATTACGCTAAAGCTAAAGTTCATATCTAAAGTAGCCATTTCTACTTCTAGGTCAAGGGGTTTTATTTACTATGATTGATATGTCCGGAGCTTGGAAATATCGTAATTTGTGGCAGCATCAATTCAAAAATTGCCAAGGCATCATTTACGTGATTGATTCTAGTGACAAAATGAGAATGGGTAGGTATTGTGGAAGCAGCTGTGCTACCATCAGATATATCACGATATTTCTAATCGCCTTATCGTTTATTTTTATAGTCGTTGTAAAGGAAGAATTAAATATTTTGCTACAACATTCCGATCTGCTGCATCGTAACATTCCTCTCTTGTTTTATAATAATAAAATCGATTGTGAAAGTTCTCTGTCTTGTGTCAACATCGCAGCCGGTTAGCCTTTATAAGAACTAAATTTGATTTCAATCTTATAATTTTTTCATTTCCAATTAGCCTTAGATCTATCATCAATAACAGACAAGCCATGGCATGTCAGTTCCAGCAGCGCTATAACAGGTGACGGCCTCGAGGAAGGCGTTCAATGGCTTATACAGCAAATACGTTTAGTAAATCATAATCATAAGAAAGTTAAACATAAAAAACGTGATAAACGGAAGTAATTATAATAAAATGAATTGTTAATTATGGAAGACTTAAGAGCCCTATATCAAAACTTTGCGTAATACGTAATTCTTGAAAATTTTTACACGCGAGCGGTTGCAAAATGTCAGTTAAAATGTTTTGAAAAGTGTAGGAAAAATAGCTAACTTCGAATGAACGGAAAGTTTTAATTTATGAGTTTAACCCCCTGTAGGCTGAATTAACAGCAAAGATTTTTTCATTTAAAGCACTTTTCTCCAACTTCCAATTTCGCAGACAATTTTGGTGACGCTCTAAACGTTCTTTTTTTTAATTCAAGCAACAGAAAAAAAAAAACAAAAGTTGGGCTACAAACAAAGTAGTTTAAGAATATTTTTTCGTATTGGCAATGATTATTGCCTTTCGCTTTCACTGCTTTTAATTTTCTGCAGTAATAGTAGGTTGCTTGACTGCCCTCATTCCTATTAAGTGGTTTGCTGCAATTCAGTTAGAAAATCTGTGATCATTTATTAATGATTGTCAAAATAATAAGAACTTATCATAAACAAATTGACATTTTTTTGTATATCAACTTTCCCTATTTTTTTTCGCCAAGTACAAATTTTTACATTTTATAAAATTAAATAAATTAAAACATACCTACCGCAATTAGTCAGTAACCAAAATAATGACTACCACCGTAGCAATGCAAAAAATGTGTCGTTTATGTATGTCTGAAACGGCTGAAAATAAAAAAGTGTACTCAAAAATGTACTCAATTTATAAAGCGCCGTCAGGTGAAAAAGATGTTTCGATAGTAGAATTAATAAAACAAACCTTGCCACGGCTCCGTATATCTGATAAAGATTTACTGCCAAAATCGATTTGTGAAAATTGTGTCCTGAAACTAATGGATTTTTATAAATTCCAAGAGCTTTGTTTAAAAGTTGAACAAAAATATAAAAAATTCCTGGTTCAAGAAGATCAAGAAGATCCTTTAGCTAAATCTGATTTACCTATCGACATGAAAGAAGTCGATGAGATTGTCATAAATATGGATGACAATTTAAGAGATGAAGATTTTGATGGCATGAGCAGTATTAGTGATATTAAAGATGAGGATATAAAAACTTGCAGCGAATTTAGTGATGATTTCGTTTGGAGCGATTCGATTGATAGCTTGAGCAATGACAGCGATTGTATCGATGATAAAAAGGATAAGTACGTTGATTTGCTAATAAAGCCCCCGTAAATGCATTTAACGAAATTTTCAGGAATAAAAGTCAATACCAATTAAGAACTGCGAATAAGACGAATAGAAAGATCATTGACATGAAGCCAATAGATGCTAATCAAGGAACTAATAAAGCGCAACAGTTTGCATGTGAATTTTGCAACAAATTTTATAAAACAAAAGATACTCTACAGAAACATAGACGTGTCTTCCATATTGGTAAAGATAAACGGGTTACGTGCAATATTTGCAAGAAAGGTAAGAAAATGTACTATTCTTATAGTTGCTATGCACAATTAATATTATATTTACAGAATTGAAACCTTACAGTTTTAAGGAACATATGCTACTTCACAGCGGTAATTTATGTGTATGAAGAGCATTTCACCATTAATTAAATTGGCTTTACTTTCATCTAGATATAAAACCTTACTTATGTTCTGAATGCGGGAAATCATTTAGTTCCTCAAGCACTTTACGGCAACATTTACTACGTCATAAAGATGAAAAACAATACCAATGTCCCGATTGCCCTCGCAAATTCTCTTGCCGAAGTGATTTGTTTTCTCATAGCGAAGTACATCAAGCAAAACCAAAATCCCACGTATGCGATGTTTGCGGGCGGGGCTTTACTATGCCGTATATGTTAAAGAAACATAAAATGTATCATAACAATGACAGACCGTTCACTTGCGAATATTGTGGCAAAAGGTATGAATTGCTTTTTTTTATGTAAATAATTTTGATTTTAGTCCCTTTTTTTGCTATGACATTTCAGTTTCTATACGGCTGCAAAATTACGCCGCCATGCTCGCATTCATACGGGTGAAAAGCCCTATCGTTGTAAATACTGTGATAAACAATATCGTCAATCGAATGAACTGATCAAGCATTATCGCGTGCATTTAGGTGAAAATGTCTATCAATGCGAATTGTGTCCTTTAAGATTACCAACTGTAAAAACTTTGCGTGAACATTTTGCCAGTCATAAAAGTGACGATTCCGAAACAACGGAACGTAATCTCGCTGCTCTAAAAGCGTTGGAAATGAAAGGAATTTTCGCAAAATGAACCCAAACGCAAACTAAAATAAATGTGAAACGAAAGTCTAAGATAGACTTTCCCGGACTTTGATTTGGAAAAATCGTTATCCCTATCGTAGTACGTACACACGTAAATGTACTTTCTTTTCTAGTGAAAAATGCATTGAATTTATTTAGGTAAAATGTATTTTTAAAAGAAACTTACTTCTATTATTAACAAACAAGAAAGTTACATTTGCCTTTGTTGCCGTATAGCACAGAACCTCAATGAAGAACTTAGCTCGGTTGGAATTCAAGACCGAGTGCCCGCTCGAAAATCTAAGAAAATTTTAAGAGAAGCCCACCCTTTAATAGAGCACTGAGTTAAGAGATATGTTTACGTTTAAAACAATCTAAAAATAATCAAGGATGGTTTATCAATACATTTGGATTTATAAAAAATTCTGATTTGAAAGGAGAATCTCGAAAGTCTTGCTCTACGTTCTGGTCCACGCGAACGGCCACAAGTCATAAGTATTTTGTTTATTTAAGTTTGGGACGTGGGATCGTTGAACCCTTTTACGCAACAATTTTTTAAATTGAATACAAATTTTTTTGAAGCGAAATATTGTCCATGTACCAAAGTGTGCCATCCAATCGTAATTAGACGTTTTCACAAATTGCCCTATCCTAGCCAAAATTTTCATACCAATTAAGTCGTGCAAATTTTAAGAGCGGATACTTCGCTTAAAGCGAACGGTTATAACAGAGAAAATGCTTTGTCATCTGAAAGTGATAAGATGGATAGAGGGACAAAAATATTTCCAAATAGGAAAGAAAAATGGAAGACGTATGCGAAAGTAGAAATTTGCATTTATTTTGATTTTTTTTTTTTTTTACATATATGGTCAGTCAGTCAGACGGTGGTGTCCCTTACGCAGATAACGCGGTGAAGACTGTAAAGAAGTGAACAAAGAAAGAGATAGGGAGATGGCCGAAAGCCTAGTGGGTGTATGAGCAATTGAACGCTTACGGAACCTACGACCAAACGAAACTTATCGTGCTGGGATTTGGACTCGCAAATGCTGACAGCAACGGTTCTCACCTATTCGTCTAATGTTTGGACATAGGATCTATAAGCGGATTGCCGCAACAGTTTATAAATTCTATTCAGTTAGTTGCAAGATGCCGTTGAAATGTGCAGATGTTTTACTTCACACCTTCCTCGATTATCGTAAGAACCTGAGTCAAGTTCATATTGTTCCTTCCGTATATCTGTGTTATCTGCTTGTCGCATAGTCGCAAAAATTGTGGAAAAAAACTCCAGTTCCAGGATAGAATCAGCTTAGCTGGTTACCATCAGCCAAGCGCAAGCACGCCCACTGTAAGGAAAAAATTTGAATTTATAATCGATGGCAGATATTGCCCTGAAATTCAACATATTTTCAAGAGACATTGAATACCTTAAAAAAGAAAGAGGTTGAACACACGGCGGTTCTTAGCCGCTGACTAACGTACTTACATTTAACAAAATGTTTCGTAATTGTCGATCTGAGATCTTAAGGGTTGCGACTATTACTTTCTTACATATTTTTGTTCGTTTTCGAGTTGATGTGTGTAGCTAGCGAGCCCACTATTTTGAACAGTTGGGAATATTCTAAAAATGAGTAAAAATTCCAAATTTTGTCTGCCAACTATGATGTTTAGTAAAAATTAATTTAAAATTGGGTTCGATTAGATTCATTTTCGTAGGAAACGTCCATAACTATTGAAAAATGCCCTAAAGGAGCGAATATCCGAATGTGACGTAATAAATAACTTATTTGCCAGGCTGAGCCGAACTTTTTCTATATAAAAACTCTTGGCTGCTATTGGCTGATGCAAAGTTAGGTTAACTGTGTTAAATTTTACGAAACTATTAGAATCTTCTGATGATGTTTTTAACGAGCTTTTATTTCGACACATTTCATAAATTGTTTTTCTTTTTATTTAAATACAGATGCCTTTGTATTTTTCAATTCAATTATTTATCGATACATTCATACATAAATAGCAAATGTTTAGAGAAGAACATACAATACGCATATAAATATAAATATATATATATAAATATATATAATAAAATACCTAAACATAGATGTAATTATTGTTCTTAATTAAATTATTTGTAAGTAATGGTAAATGCCACCGTATATTATGAATACATAGAGATAATGATACGAATAAGATAATAAAAAAAAAAAGTTTCTCGATTAATTTACGAAACTAATTGTAATAGACAATGAGTTAAAGCTTAATATATTCCAAACCGAAGAAAATTTCATTCATAAAAAAGGTCAAGGATTAAGGGATCCGTGAACTTTTAATATAAAGCGTCTATGTGCAAAATTTTTTTTTTTTTTTTTTTTTTTTTTTTGTTTATTTATAAAAGCTTTTTATATGCGATCACCAACTTCATAAAAATATATAAAATGAAAACATTTACATACAAAATTGTGTATGTCGATGGTAAAGGGCCTCGGGACATATATATGGCAAGACTAAGCGAATTAGACTCTTCGGATTCATCCCTATGGACAGTTAGCTGACATGTATCATATTTCATGTATGTAATACAACAATTCGATGAATGAATGAATGAATGTTAATTTACAGTAAGAAAGAGCACACATTGTAAGCTTTAGGTTCAGTATCTAACATTTAAGCGGTATTTTTTGTTCCCATTCCATTTATGATGCAAGAGGAATCAAAAAATATATGAGTTATTATAAACTGTAAGCTTATTGTGTTGTTAGCATGTGTAGACCGATGTTGATTGATAAAAATATATGCATATACTTCTTAGGTGTTTTGATGTGAATTATTAGCGTAAATCACAAGCAATTAATGTGTGAGTGATTTATTTATGTATGTGTGGAAATTTTATGTTAGTCAATAAGCGCAATCGACGGATTCCTAAATCGACAGAAATGTCTACACTCTTCCCAATGCCCTGGAAACCCTTCGGGTACTTTGCATAGTTTCCGATCCATATAAGCAAATGTTAACAACAATTTAACACATCTTTAGATTTGTATTCAAAAATCCTCCGCCTACTTATAAAAGTTTTCAAATATTTTGGTAAATTAACGGAAAAATTAATGTTTTTATTACGGTTGGAAGTTATTGGTTGATCGTATTTAACGTATACGCAAGATGTATTTATACTTTAATATCGTACGAGAGCTGCATATATGTTCACGTTTCTGATTGGTATCGGCAAATATTTTAAGAAATAATATATATTTGGCCCTGGATTTAAAAGTCTTGAAATAGATCGACATAGAACTTTGATTTGTATATTGTATACGTTCCCTTAAGTCGCAAACTGTCCCATACCATACGTCACTTGTGTTGCTAAGGAGCAGCACAACATTTTACTGTACCGATGCATTTAGAATCTCCTTACGTTTCGATCTAAGCTTGTCTGTCCATCTGTCCGTCTTCTATTCAACTTATAGGTCGCAATTTTTTAAATGTTTTGATGACATCCTTGTTTGTCGTTGGGCCCCGACATGGCCCAAGGACAAACGCTATTGAAAATATTTCGGGTGGCATTATTTTTCCGGCCAATTTATATACAACGTCTTATTTTGAAAAAGACGTTATAGGAATATTTGTATTAAGCCAACTGTTGTAAGGTATTTAACGGCGGGGGGTGGCTTACAATACTGTTTTTATTCACATTTAGAAAAAAAGTTTAACTAATAACTCTCTATGCAGAAAGCAAAATTTGAACTTTGCAGAAATATATAGTTCTCATTGGAGAATGAATTCAGAAGAAAGTGAAAGACAGTCAAGAATCGAGAGGGTACAGTTTTTTCTTCAAAACAAGATTAAGATCAAAAACTATGGACTTTGAGTTGCCTAAGAGAGTTCGATCGATCGGCTAACAGAGTGTGACTCAAAAAGAAACTTCGTATTCACGGGAAATGATTCAGAAGGGAGAAGATGAAGGCCTTCTTTTGATAAAATATGGAAATGTTTTAAGTTTTTACGAAATGTATTTAAGTTAAGTTGATTAATATAAGAAGACGATTTTTCATAAATTTTGCAGTGAGTAAAACATTTTTTACATCATGCAAAGAAGTAGATGACGGTTTAAATACTAAATTGAAGGTGAATAGGAGGAACAGAGTAAGCAAGTCATACTTGCATAATCATATCTTGCTGACATCATAAAGAAATCTAGCACACATACATACATATATATAAAAACCGGCCCGCCATCGTAGGATGGGATGTATTGCACGGCAAAGGACCTAGGGCACCTACAAAGTTTCCAATGTTAAGGTTATTTGTAAACTACTACTACGTTGCATCGTTTCATAGCTGAGTGGTAACAAACGTAAAGAAAACAAGAATCATCTAACTATCCTATTTTATGAGAAAATACAATTTTACTTTCATGTTAGACCCGGCAATCAAAATAAATTTTGCATTTGGATCGAGTAAATCTTTCATGACTGTCTTCTGGCTTTTAAGAGAAGACACTAAAGGACTTTTGAATTCAGCGTAGTAGAGAAGCTCTCGGATAAAAGTTACTCGAAAAAAAAAAAACAGGTAAAAAAACTATTCGGCTACGGCCGAGTACATTGTACCCATCGCCGCTTAATACTGATCAATAATATATGGGCCTTGCACGATCTTTGCAGCTTCTTGCTGGGTGCTGCTAACGTTTTGATAAAAGAATGAATTTTTACATTCTATAATATTGAATAGGCATGGCCGACTTTTTATCGTGTAATCTGTTTTGGTTTATGAGTACGAGAAAAAATCAAACTTGTTTTATTTTCGAAAATAGAGATGGGCTCAGATTATAGAGTATTGTGGTCGTCTTCTTTGACCGACTTGGCTTAATTTCAATATCGAACTGCCTGCAACAAGTTTCAATCTTTGCGACAACTTACATGTATGGATAGACAGGCGGACGGACGCGATTAAATCGATTTAGAGTTTGATGCTGATCAAAAGTGCATATACTGTATGGGGTCTCTGAGGCTTCCTTCTACGTGTTGTAAGTTTTTTAAAAAAATCAATAATATATTTATGTTGGGTGTAAAAAAAAAAGAAAAAAAATAAGGAGGCTTGATATCGAGACATTGGGCGCTTGTTCATAAATTAGCCTTGGCTTTCTGTCGCCTAAATGAATTGTCATGCAAACCACTGAAGTTGGATAGAATGTAGTGCTGATTTTAACACCCTGCAAAGTGGGAGACATCTATCATCAGGAAAATTGAGAGTCACTTCAGAGAAGTAGAAACTCGCCAAGCTACATAGCGGAAGGAGGGAGATATATCTTTAGTTTCCAACAATAAGTGTATCCTCGTCAAGAGTTGCCATAAGATTGGAACCTTTTAGCAGCCTTTTAGTTGCTTAAAAGTATCAGCGTATCTGTCCGAAAATTTTATATACAAATAGCGTGTGTTAGGGGGTTGCTTTAAATACGCTTGTAATGAAAAATACTCCTTAAGGGACACGATTCGAACTTTTTTTTCGTGGATGAGTGCTATTCACTTTAAAATTTCACTTCCCGAAGACTGTATTTTATAACGAAAATGGAAAATATGCATTCTTAGTTTGTAAGGATTTCATTAGCGAAATTTTTTTATATAATATTTTCTTTTTTAATAGCCTTAGTCCTATAGAGTTTGAATTAGTTGATAAATCACTTTTTATTGATTTATTTATTATTATTTTTTTTTTTTCATATATACTGTGTATTGCATTGAAATTGTGGGGAGGAGGGGAAAGAGGAAAGAAAAAACAAAATTAAAGAAAAAAAACAAAAAATTATAACACTCAAAGTGAATTCTATGATTATTTGGTTATCCTTAATTCACAATTTTTTTTTTGTTTTTTTATTATGCATAATACATTCATACATACATACATAATCACTTATATATCAATCACTTAAGGGTTTATTAAAAAAATATGAATAATTTATTAAATAATTATTATTATTATGTTAAATAATTTACATATACATATGCTTGTGGCGATGTTTCATATATATATATATATTTATTTTTTTTTTCAACTTAAAAATTAAATTCATTAAATAATTTATTTATTTTTTTTTATTATTATTATTTATTAATAAATATTTTTACATGCGACTACCCAGCTTAGGTGTTATTGTGTTGTTGTTGTTGTTCGTTTTCTGTTGTTCGTTTTTGTTATCAATTCATTTAGTTTCATTTCTAGTTTTTTAGTTTTATTTTTTATGTTTTTTAAAAATTTTGCAACACTTGATTTTTGTTGGAAAATTTTCATTAATTTTACGAAAATGTTCTTACAGCTTAAATGTATGTGTGTGTACATATATGTGTGTATACATATAGAATTTAAAAAAAAAAAAAAAACAAGAACAAATATTTTTCAGAATTTTTTTTTTTCTTCTTTTTTATTTTGTTTTTCTTAATACATCTAAAACGGTTTAATGGTTTGCTCTTTTTATTTATTTATTCATTTGTTTTTTGTTTTGGAGCAGGAGACGGGAAAGGTTTCAATTGTGTTATTATACATCAAACGATGTTTATTTTGGTGTTCATTTACGTCATATCCGAGGTTCAATTTGTTTTAATAATCATAATAATCATAATAATAATAATAATAATAATGTTAATAATAATAATAATCATAATAATAAAACGTTTAGTTACAATTACTTCGTTTATATTCGTTTTATTTGGAATGTCGTTGTGACCCTTCTTCTTTTTGTTTTCTTCTAAATAATTGGCATAGTTGTAGTTCATCAAGTCATATAGTAAAAGATTTTCATTTCTCTTCTCTGGACATTCATGTACATAAACACTGTACATATATTATATATATACATATTATATATATATATATATATATATATGTGTGTACATGTTTATGTATATACATAATTAATCTTCCGATATAGAATAATTAAGATGAGGGAGTGTGTGTGCGCGGCGGGTATACTGTGTGAGGCGAAGGGAATTCTTATTTGAATAAATTCATGTTGTGAACGATGAATGGAGAAAAGGGAGAAGAGCTAAGGACAGACGCGTGGCTTTTACACATATTTATATGTATTGTAATTATTATATAGCAGACACTGTTTTTATGTCTGCATGACACACACACTTATAGCAATGTCCTGGGTAGTTTGCATCATATACTTATTGAGAGTAATGCGTTAGTCGTTAGTAATAAGTTTATATGTTTATATGTATTTGTATATTGAGTAAGTCAAGTTAGTCACTTACGTTTCTCACTACACGAAAGGGTAGAATTAAAAGCATAGAATAATATATAGAATTATATAAATATATCTAGATATCTATATATATATATATATATATAAAAGGGGAGATTTTACTACAATTTGAATCTTTTTACGAAAGGAAATACTGCTGAAAGAATATATATATATATATACATATATTCATATAACATATGTAGTTAAGCTGAGAAGTTGATCGGTTAAACTTGAAAATAGTGTAAACAAGTTCCTATTGATCATTTCAGCTTACGAAGATGTGCATGAACGACAAGCATATTAGATGCTTTGGGGTATTCAATTGCGGATTGTGATACAATCGAATACCCTTCTTGTACTACCAGTGCATTAGGCGAATTTGATCTAAAATACGTTGCTTAAAGAATGTGCCAAGCATACCGAAGACAGTTGAGATTGCTGCGATACCCATCATGACCTGCATGACGCAATGTATCCCCGAAAGATCCTCTTCGGTTTGTTTATGCCGATGACGTTGACGATGATGACGGCGACCCTCATATTCTCGCAGTCTTTGTAAACGTTCCAGTTCTTCATCGAAGTGCGGAATTATTGCTAAATTAACGACTTCGGTTTTCGATAGAATTTCCTCGTTAGCAATATCTTCTACTTTATGTTGACTATTTGCGTAATTGTTTGACGATGTATGGCCACTAAGCATATCCTTTATTTGCTGTTCTTGTTTGTGACGTGAACGCTCATCGAGCATCGTGTTGTCGCGACTAAAATCGAAATCAAAGTTACGGGTTCGAGCCGACGTTGGATAATCGGCCAAATTAACTTTTGTCATAAAGTGCAAAGTTGTGCTATCCGAATGATCTAAGCTGCCTAACGCTCGCTCTTCGGTTTCGGTGGTTATGACCGCTTGCGAATCCTTAATGCGAAACTGTTTAAATTGATTCTTTTTTATACCAAGTACTTCAGACAAAGGTCTATTGATCATTGGCAGTACAGAGTCAGTTGGACGAATTATAAAAGATCCGGTAGTGGGTGCAACTTCGGGAGCCGGCAGTATCTCTGCTTGACCCTCTGCATCTGTGGTGGTCTTTAAACCGAAAGCATTTTTATTGTCATTGTCGAGCTTAAAGCCTGCAGAAAGTTCGTCGTCGTCGATGTCAACACTTGATGCCGAATCGTCAGAGTCGCTATTGTCTAAATTGTCGGTAGGTGAAGAAGACTTGCTTTCGGGCTTATTATTAAATTTATGAGTAGTAAGGTTACGTATTGGTTCGTATTTAGTATTTTCGGAGTCGCCGCGATAAAGCAACGCAACCTTGCCATCGGGTGTTAAGACCGGTGTAATTTTCGGATGAGAGGACGCCAAACGATGACTGCTCTCGGGATCCGGCGAAAGGGCATCAAAATCAGTAAAAGTTGTTGACTTTTTGTCACTACTTTCGGCGGACTTCTCGTCCGCCTGATTAGGCGTAGGTTGATACACAATGCTCACTTTTCCGAGTGGCGTCGAAATTATTTTAATAGCGTCGTTTGTATTTTTTCGAAAGTAGCGGCTATGCGATTTTCTCTTCGAACTGAAGAACCCTTCGCTATCTTCATCATCGTCATCGCTGTCGTCATCATTATCTTCATCATCGTTAGCAAAATTGCCGCTGCTTTCTCGCAAATCAACTTCCGTTTCGCCCCCCCTTGTACGATCGGTTATAAATTTTTGGTGTTTTCTTCGATATTTCGTAATGTAATCCATTCTGGTTTTATCTTTGCCGTTGCTCTTGAATCTATTGTAATTACTGCGTAAATAATCATTGCCACTTCCTTCCTCATTCATGAAATCTTGCATACTACTACTACTACCGTATTGCCGTGAACTTGATACCTTTGGTCTTTCCACGGCAAGACGTTCATCGTCTTCATCGTAACCCATATCAACTTCTTCTTCTTCTTCGTTGTTATCATGTTCTTCTTTATCTGTTATATCTTCGTTATTTGAAGGCTGTTTTAGGCCTCTCGCTTCCGGTAAGCTTTCAGCTTCATTCGCGTCATATTCGTCATCTTCGTCATACTCGTTATCATCATCATCATCATCATCATCATCATCATCATCATCATCATCATCATCTTCATCGTCGTTTTCATCGTCATCCAGTAAGTCTTCGTCTTCGTAGAAATCCGTACTTGGATTTAATTGCATTTTCTCGGTACCCTGTTCTTCTTCTTCTTCTTCTTGTTCTTCTTCAGTCTCATATTCACCTGCATAATCCACCTGCTCCTTCATATCACTAAATTTATTTGTTTTATTGTTTAGAAGATGGTCTCCTTCAATTATTTTTCCCCCCCCGCCATTGGCATACGATTTAAATAATTTTTCCGTTAATCTTATGCTATCAGCTAAGCTAAAATTATTACTAATATTAAAATTATTACTATTACGTGTAGAATCCTTATCATTACTGCTATTTGAAATGGTGACGTTACTATATAGTCTTAATTTTAAATCTAAGCTGCTCTGGGTAGTCGCATCTTTCAGTCAGTAGCATTTTTTTGTGCAACCGCACTTTCTTACAATATCAAGGTTTTTAATGTACTTTCTATTATTGCTACACACCATGCGCACCTGCAAATGGAATGGATGAAGGAAGATAAATAAAGATAAAATATATAGAATGCATTACGTTTTTACCTTTCGCCTTCGTACGATTTTCGCTGCACAGCACTGATTGCCACAGCCACCAACGCATTTAGCATATTTAAGTGGCTGACGTGACCTGCAATCATTTTCGGTATAATATTCTCGTACTTGTTCTTTGCGGCAAGTTGACGCGACTGTAAATACAATCAAGTTATGTAAATATTGCTGTTTAGTTAGAGTCACCAACAAACTTTCAAGTAATCAATATATGAAGAAGAAGATGATATGCATTTCTAACTAAAGACAGCCGATACAACGAAGCCCACAATAATAATCCCAAATATTACAATAGAGAGGATTTGATGGGCGGAAACTAATCGTGTTCCCTTTTATTTTAGGCTTGAGTCGACTAAGTCGCTCGAATTTTGAATTTTGAAACATTAGCTTTTTTATGAGAGAATGAAAGAATCGAAAATATCTCCTCTCAAATAATACGTGTTTTTAGCTAAAGGGTGAACTACTAATCCGAGGTCTTCTAAATGAGATAATCAAATTTGCGTTTGTCTTAGAAGCATTAATAACAACCAATCAATGTATACATGAATGAATAATTAATACCAGTGTTTGTTGGGGGCTCTGTGCTGGTGCCCTCACCTTGATCACAATAACGTCCCTTTTGACCTTGCTTGCATTTACAATGATAGCCGTCACGCGAACTGGGATTAGGTACGCATCGGCTTCCACGACGACATTTACTATTTTCACATGGATCCATCTAAAATTTCGATTCTAGTTGATAAAACAATTTGATTAAGTAAATATTCTCCTACGTACTTGTGGAGTTTCATCCATGAAATCTTGTTCGTCGTCGTCTTCCTCTTGATTTTCGCCTTCGAGCAAAGCACATCCTGGCGTAATTTTTTGTTGCAAAGCAGCATTTTCAAAGTCAACTAGTTTGTGATTGATCCAGACCTCTTTCATGCATCCTTTGAAACTGGTCAGATTACGTAATTGCCAATTTTTATACGCTTGCTGAGCTGGTTCGGGTGGCAAACCGCCCAAATATAAAGGGGTCGTTAGTTTTAAATAATCATTTGAACCTTCATTTATTATGGATCTTGCGGGACCGCGATCAACGCGAAGTGTGAAATTTTTCTTTATCGCCAGCAATTCAACTGAATGATATTTCCCATCCGCTACCATTTCAAAACTGTACATGGTAGACACTGGATAATTGCCAACATCGTAGCTAATCCGTATGCGGCCATTAAAGAGTTCTACGGCCCAGTGCGCATCTTGACCATCATACATAAGTATACCATTTTGTTCAGTGCTACTGAATACAATTGTGACATTAGCGTCCGGTTTGGTTCTAAGAGGTTCCATTTCGACGAAAGAATTATTGTGGACAAAACTGATACTCGTCAAGTATTCGCACCATTTACCCGTGTAACCCGGATGACACTTGCAAAGGTAATCTGAACCAGATGGATTCGGTTGAAAACACACACCGTGCTTGCATTCGTGATTCTGGCAAGGCGATGTCTGAGGATACATCATTGATACCATGTTGTGACCTTCGCAATACTTGCCGGTAAAATCTTCTGGACACATGCACACATAATCATTAATGCCGTCTATGCAAGTACCACCGTTTTGGCATATGTGATTTTGACAATCATCGATATTATCGGTACAGTTGACGCCATGAAAGCCGGGCTTACATTCGCAGGTATAATGAGTAAAATGATCGCGGCATTTAGCATCGTTTACGCAGGGATTGAAGTCGTCACTACAAAAATTGATTTTCGTATCGCAATATTGACCTAAAAACAAAAAAACCAAGCAAAACAAAATTTTAATCGAATCAAAGAAACGAGGAAGGTACAAGAGGGAAATACAACACTGACCCGTGAAACCTGGTTGACATTCGCAAGTGTACGATTCGATGCCGTCAATGCAAGTCGCATTATTCTTACATTTCACTTCGCCCAGGCAATCGTCGATATTGGTTTCACAGCGGGCTCCAGTGTATCCCGGACGGCACTGGCAGCTGAAACGACCCTCCTCTAGAACTGTGCACGTGGCATTATTGCGACAAGGATTGCCGTAACAAGCATCAATCATGAATTCACAATGTTTGCCATGAAAGCCCGGCTGGCAGAGACATTGATAATCACGCTGTGCCAACGCAACACATTTGGCTTTATTTTGACACGGATACGTGTAGCAGGCATCACATTTTGCCATAATTTCATTATTAACTCTACCCTTGCAGACGAAATTCTGCGAAGGCGTTGAAAGTATGAGTTTATCTTTCATATATTCCGGTTCAGCGCAACGTGCAATACCCGGTTCTACATAATCGAGTTTTATCCAATCCGAAAACCACTTAAGAGCACAATCGCAATAAAGCGGATTATTGCCAAGAGCACTAACAATACATATAAAAAAAATATGACGAGACATTACTTTATGGGATGAGACAAAAGCATAGGAGTCAGAGAACAATACATACATGTGTGTAAGTGATTTCAGGTCATCGAATGATCCTTCCGGCATCATTGATATTTGATTACCATGAAGTGATAGAACGCGCAAATTATTTAATCCTGCCAATGCGTGCCGTTGCAGGCACTGTAGGTTATTGTAAGAAATAATTCTATATTTAAAAGAACAAAGAACAAAAAAAAGATTCTCTCTCAAGTGCTACAACAAAGCAATTCGTTTCATTATAATAATTACACTTACAATGTCGATAGTTTTGTTAAATTCACAAACGTAAAATCCGATAATATATTTATTTTGTTGTTGCTTAAGTCTCTAAAATGAGTAGAGAATATTTACGCAATTGTTAGAGATCCGTATGCATAGGAACAAAATTGTATGTGTATTCAAGTTAACTTACAATCGCATCAATCCTTTCAGATGACGTATTCGATCCAGATGTATTAGTGTGATTTCGTTCGATTCTAGGTAAAGTTCGGATGTTTCACTCGGTATACCGCGTGGTATTTCTGTTAAATTATTGCGAGAACATCGCACCACCGTACCAGTGCACGTACAAGCAGGTGGACAATAGTTATCACCTAAGCAGCCAACATTATTGTCTGACGTGCATTTAAATTCGTTGTGGGGTAAATCTTTAATTTGGACATCACGTACTTTTGAGGGTGTAGCGCAACGTGCAGCGCCGCCCAGCAACGCACGCTTACGTAACCAATCGGAGAACCAGGCCAAATGACAATTACAGTTAAACGGATTCGATGCCAAATTTCTAAAGAGAAATAATCAACAACAAAAAAAAAAAATCCCTTTAATCAGTTTGTCTTTGCACGCAAGGACGAGGCAGAATGTCTCAAGTTTAAACATTAAATTTTGTAAGTTTGTATGTGATTGTGCTGCAGTAGGAATTGTTTCCTTTACTAGTAATAATATCTTTATTTATTTATGGGAGATGTAGAGAATAAATTCGAACACTAAAGGCTTAACAGCACTAGCATCAGGTTTCGGCTTTTGGCTTTCGGCTTTCGACTTTATTAGAAACTCTACCGCACTTGAGATTTGAACTCACGGCCATTGAGTTGCTGGTCGAGACTCTTGCCTAGTCGGCTACTCAGGCGGATTTGAAAAATAATTAATAATAATAGATTCGTTCAAAAGTACTGAGCCCTGGAGACTACACTTCAAGCGTTAATAGCACTTTCCGCGTAGGTTCGCAGTTGTAGAACTTTTGCCGGTTTTTAGCACAAAGTCTTATGGCGCATGTTTATCAGAGGTCCATAGACAAAAAGCTGTGCGGAAATTGAAAGTAGTGTCACTTTGAAGATCCCCGGATCGAAACATTGTTAAAATGGAAGCTGATAAGCCTTGCGTTCGCTGTGCAAATCGTCTTGTGATCTTTTTTCTTGCTTTTAGTTTTTTGTACCCACCGCCGAGGGATACGGGTGCAATCATTTTGTTGTTATGTTTGCCACACCCAAAAGGAAGCTTCGGAGACTCTATAGGGTATGTATATTCTTGATCAGCGTGAAATGCAGAAACGATTAGGTCATGTCTGTGCGTTTGTGTGGATGTTGACACATATTGGAAATTTCTGCAAGCAGGTTGGTATTGAAAATGAGCCAAATTGGTCACAGTACACGCGCGCACAGCAAAGCGTAAAGTGAACGCAACTCTGTCTTTTTAAATAAAAATTTGTGGGTTTTTGCTCGGCCTAAAGGAAGCTTCCTTATAAAGTATACACATTATTTTGATCAACGTCAAATTCAGAAAGTACCTAAGCATAATTGCCTGTTTGTCTGTCCATCTGTTCGTCTGCTCGGAAGTGATTGAACACCGAAAAAAGCTTTCGGGAAATACATATCGCACCAGTGAACGTAAAAGGAACGATCAAAGCGATTCAAACAATCTTCAAAATCAAATTATGAAAACATGATCTCAAACTAAGTTTGAAAAGAATTTAAGAGTAAAGAACTTGTAGGGTATAAAAAAGAAGCAGCTTGAGACATAACATGGCTCGATCAAAGATACGCTTCAATCGCTTTGATCGGATATTCTGCTACTATTACTATTTCTAATGCCAACACTGCTGCTATTACCGCTATTGCTACTGCTACTACTATTGCTGCTACTACTATTGCTGCTACTATTACTGCTACTACAACTATTACTACTATTTTGATTATTTCTATCATTTTAAGAAATACGCAGCTTCTAAGCTTCGGTCATTAGCAGTTACAAAATAATTTGACCGACTGTGTCTTTACTTTTACTTTTGCTTTTTCGATTTTCTCTGTTATTTCAGAAGTTGAGTTCTTCTTCCATCAGATATGGTTTCCCATAAAATTGTGGCTATTAATTGATAATGTGTTTTGATGAAAGTATATTTTCCTGCCACTATATACTAATTGGAATTAGTTTTCTTTAATAAGAGTAAAATGAAGCAAATTAATTCGAGACACACTGGCACATTAAGGATACTTAGTACTTTGACTTGTGAATGTTGTTCGTTAAATTAAATTTTCTGTTAAAAATTGAATTATTTTTAAAAGCAAGAAGTGATATAGAGTGCTTTTATCTTGCATTGGCAGTAATGAATACTTCACGTCCTTATCTGTATGTGAAAAATGACATTCACGTTGCCTTTTATATGATGGTGGTGCACTCTACTCAACTACTATTTTAGTGCAATATTTGTAGTATAGCTTTCATTGTGTGTGTGTGTGTGTGTGTGAAAATAGTGACAATATTAGTTTTTCGTCTTTACTTAAATTCAATTTTAATTAATTAAATTTTCAAATTCAATAAGGGTAACATATGTATACGATGCACTTTTGCACACATATACATATACATATTGATGTAAGCATTTTCAAAGAGCGTAAGAAGGATGCTCTTAGAAGTTGTTTGATGACTTGTATTAAATGATGATATGTGCCGTATTACATGAGAATGAATCTGAAGAATGAGGAGAAGAAAAAAGTGAATGAAAATCACATGGGTCTACGTAAAAAGGTCTCGTGCATTAACTAACTGTAAATTGAAGTTCAATTAAAATTGTCATCAGTGACTGGTAACCTTAATGATTAAGATGCTACTGCTACTGCTGCTATTCTGCAGTGATTTCAAGCATTTGCCTATTAAGCGCAGACACATATTTTCATTCGAATTCATTTAGCTGAACAAACACACGGAGCTTTTCTATCTTTTTTTCCTCTTTTGTTTTTTTTTGTTTTTTTTCATTTTAATCGTATAAGTGTTGCATAAAAGTGTTTAAGGCAAACGAGAATAGTATTCAAAGATACATAATTTAAAATAGAGAGTAATTGAAACCCATTAACCTCAATTTCCAACTTTGAAGCACATAAAACACTTATATGCCGAACAGTTAGTTATAGTTGACTCTTAATTAAGTATCAATTTATATATAATTTTTTCTGTTTTATTTTTTTTGTTTTTTTTTCTCTTTTTTCTTCTATTTTTTTTCTTGTTTTTCTATTTCAAATAAAATAATAAGTGCCTACATCCGATAAGTTCAAATATCGATAAACACGTACACCGTGTTTTATATACCTACGAGAGCAAATACTTTTATTACTTACAGCGTTGAGAGCGATTGCAGGAATTCAAATGAGCCGGGCATTACACAAGAAATTTGATTATCATACAAATTGCTGTACAAATAAGAACAATAAGACCATAAAGAAAAAAAATATTAATAAACAAAAAAAAAAAAGAAAAGCGAAAAACGAAAAACGCTTAGAATAATTACGAGAATTTATAAATATTTACAGAGATTTTAATTGATGCAAACCGAGGAACATCTTGTTCGATATTTCTTTGATTTTATTCTCAACTAATTGCAGATCGAGAATACGTGAGGCTCCTTCAAATGCATTGTCTTCAATTGTTGTGATGTGATTGCGTTTAAGTTCCAGTTTGACTAAGTGAGGCAAACGACCAAACAATCCATCCGATTTAATGCGTATTAGCTCATTGTCATTAAGAAGTCTGCGAATATATTCAAATAATTGCGAATTTTTTAACTTCAACTTTAAAGGAAGAAGTGTTAAGGATAATTACAGTTCCGTTGTACGTAGCGGTATATCTCGAGGGATTTCTTTAAGACCACGTCCAGAACAATCGACAATAGTGCCATCGCATTGGCATAGTGCCGGGCATTCTGTATCTATACGACACTCGCCTGAAAGTTTCATACGCATCTCATCCCACGAGCCTGAGAAATAAAAGAAATGTTTTTTTTTTTTTTTCAACTCTTTGCAAATTCTCTGCATCTAGCTTTAGTTTACTTACATTTGAATTTTTCTTCACGTAACGTTTCGATACGTCGGCGATGCATTCGCTTGGGCGATTCGCAGCGAGCGCCACTCGTTTCAATAGGATTCTTGTGCAAATAATCAGCCAACCAACGTAAATTGCAATCGCAAATGAAAGGATTCTTTGCCAGGTGCCTATGTGTGAGAGAAAAAATGATTGCATTTTAGATAAACAAGTAAGGATCGCCTAACTGATCTTGCAAGGCGCTTAACGAGAAATCACTAAACATAAATACGGAAGCGGAAGGTAAATGTTTCTAATCACATGTCCGAGATAAGGACAAAGTAAATCTCATTATTTCAACAAAAGTCCGAAGCTTTTTCGAAAGCAGGCAAGTAGGGAACTGATTGAATTTCTCCAGGATTTGCAGAGAAAAATGAGAATCGTCCTTCAAGTATTTGGAAAATGATCCCGACGAATAAAAAAACAGTACTGAGGCGGGAGGGGGGAGGAGGGATGTGGTAGCGCGTACCAATTTAATGCTTATATAGGTTTTGCTATATAGTGCCGAGCATTATCATGCCGTTACGTATATAGCCGCTAAGTACTATAGCCGCTCTTCCTTCGATCATTGACGTAGTTGTTCCTAGTAAGAGTTTAATCGGCTTGCGACAGTTCGTAGTACGATCTAACCCTCAGTCCATCTCTCTAAGGTCCAATCCATCCTAAGCCCATCCATTTCAACGTCAATAATACTGGCTTCCCTTCACTTGTTGTCATCGTTACTGTTCAGCGGCACTTTGCTTCAAAACGAAGCGGGAAAATGATATATTTTTTGGGTGTGCATCTCGATCTATTCAAAGCTCCCAACGGCTAACTTATTAAACTTTGTTTACCGCTCATTGTCGGCTAAATATTAAAGATATTGTCGTAGAGAGTAGATGCAGCTGAGAAGAATGCAAAGGAAGTCAAACAATGGAAAAATTAAATTTAATGCACACTATAGCGCAGTTTAGGTCATATGCAGGATATAGCACTGAGATGTATTACCTTACAAGAGTTTGCTCCTAAGAAGGATTTCATATATGCACAGTGAGTGATTCTTAGATATTCTTGTCCCATTTGGAAACAAAATATATTTAATAAAACTTACTTTGGTCTGTTTCGATAAGATAGACTGTAATTAGCACTGTAGGGTGTAGGGTGTAGAATAAAGCTGTGACTTTTTCATTTGAAAGTACCGTCTTTAAGGTCTATGTAACTGCATGAGTTATCATACTAAAGCGTACAAGACATAGCTTCTAGGAGCTTTGATAAGATGTATATTTGTGCAGGAAACTAAGCCAAACTAAATCCTTACATGTGCTGAGCAGTCGATTTGGTGCAATACCCAAAGCCTAGATAATTATGACAGATGAGTATGGGAATTGATAATATCGAAGGTTGAATATCCTTGATGGCCCCTTGATGGTGTGTGATATGTTAAGGTTCCTTCACACCAAATGAAATCATCTTTGAGGAATGTTGCATCCAATAATTGATGCAATTGCATAAAAAAATGGGCGTAATATACCAAAGCTCTGCTATCGTGAGTTTTTGTTATCAAGAAAATCGGTTCCATATAGCAAAAACCCGCTACAGAAATCTTTAACGTTCTAACCAAGAATGTCTTAGCCTCCCCGCTGTTACTGGCAGACATTACTTCTTTCGTTTAACACTGGTTTCAATGGATTACTTACTATTGGCTTGAACGATGCTTCGATTCTTTTGGCAATGCCCAGATAACCTTAAAAGAAGACGAGACTTATTTTCGAAATGGATTTCGAAAATTGTGTAAAAGATGAAGAAAAGTCATAGCTAACGATGGATAATACATTAAAGTAAATGCTCGGAAGAAAGCTTCAAAGTTACAAGAAAAACAAACAAACCCTCAAAACTTATTTGTACACACAATATGAATACATATCCATATCGCTGTTGATCTGATTATTTGAATGCGTTCAAAAGTAGTATAACTAATAGTTTTGAAGTTTTTATAAAAAAAATTTGTTTTTTCCCGTAATTTCGCGTAATTCTTGAAAGTATTTACAAAACGGTAAACATCTCAAAAGCAGATCAAGCGCATTATGTGCACATCTACTTAGTTTGTTGTGCACATACTCATCTTTAGTATTAATTCGTAAGAAAAAAAAAAAAGAGTAAAAAAAGTAAAAGGTGTTAAAAAAATGCTTATTCACTGTTGTTGTAACCGTGCATTAATAACAATAAGAGTGTCAATGAAACATTATCCACTCGTACGTGAATTATTCTCAAGTGTACAATTATGCAGCGTACAGATACTTACAATGTCTGAATGCTTTTCATGGCATCAAACGTTCCATTAGCCATAGTTTTGATGTTGTTGTCATACAATGATAGCAGACTTAGACTGTGCAAGTCGCGGAATGCATCTTTACGTATGCAAGAGATCTCGTTTGCATTCAATAGTAGCAACTGAAGTGATGTGAGCCCTTTAAAAACTCCGGAGGGCAAATCCTTTATTTTGTTGCCGTACAAAACACTAGAAAATAAAGCAAGACAAAAGGGAAAGAGAGAGAGAGAGAGAGAGAGAAAAAAAAAGGAGAAACAAAGCAAAACATCACATATTAATGTTAAACGGTTAAGGTGCAACAGTTTAACTATTATATGATTATATATATGAATGTGTATACATTAAATATCGCCGTTAGTATTTGTTTATATAAAATCTTACAGATTCACATTCACTCGTATCCACATATCCACATATCTATATATATATATATACACTTAGCCACATACACTCCGTGACCCATTCTATAGTATGGCACTCGAACCGGTTTAGATGTGCATGCGTGTATGTATGTATGTATGTTCAGTGATGAGCACTCACTCGACATACAATCTCTTCATCATACTGGGAGGCAATAAGTGTTGTTTTGCTGCACATTTTTTGTTTTTGGTTTTTTTTATTATTTTTTTTTTGTTTCATTTTCTTCTATGTATAAAATGTGCGCACTTGTGGCCGACGCTTAACCGACATAAATAAAGAATTGTTGCTTTTAAAGTGTACATATGTATATGCATATATATGCATATTCATACAAATGTATGCACGTTTGTTCATATCATACCATACTCCGCATGCCTTGATTTCTTTATATGTGCGAGTGTTTAGATTAAATCTTAGCTTTGTTCAACTTGAACAGATTAACGTCACGCTTGATTGAAATAAAATGAGTTTTCTCAATATTTATGTACGCACGTAAGACATCAACCGCAGTATTGTCATATTACAGCTTTGTATTTGTGCTCGCTGGCAAGAATAATACATGTTTCAAAATTGTCAATTTCATATCAACCAAACGGAGGACTAAGGATTAAACTAAAGAATATTCTATAGGCGCACAAACACATTTATATATAACAAAAAAGAAGAAAAAGAACAGTCTCCACTTGCCGTCTTTTAAGAGATTCTATTACGATGAAAAATTCATAGCCGCGCGCTTATAAGATATTTTTCATTCAGTCTTTTCTTTTCTTTCCTATTCTCTCTCTATTCATCATTAGGATAAGAGTTTCATTGTCATCAAATCTATATAGAATGTATAGAGCATGTATATAGCAGCAAAAATTTTGTGCATATGTATGTATTTGTAAACTCACTTCTTACTTCTTCGCAACAACGCCTATACATTTTTCTATAGTATATATATATATATAGGATATATTAGGATCCAATCCGATAGGTACAATAATATTGTGCACATGTGTCCATTTGAAAACTTTTGCTCTCTACTACTAATTAAATTACATTCAGTTTGATGTGATTCTTTAAGTAAAACATAATCTCAAAATGTTCACTAGCTACAGGTTTAATTAACTGCTGCACAGGTGTTACAAGTATGTGCGAACTCTGGCGTATAAGTGACATATCCATAAATTAACTACAGTTAACTTTCTGATAACGCATTCACAATGTATTTGTAAAAAAAAAAAAAATGTCATCCTAAGCAAAACTCTGCTAAGCATATTAATGGTAAGCACCGAACTAATGCGACTTAAAAAAGTATTTATGTGCAATAACGCCTGCGTAGTTTAACATCCAATACCAAGAGCTTGTGTACGATACATTGTGGTAAGGTAGAGCAAAAATCCCGTTAATTCGACATATTAAATCATATTTCTATGCGATTTGGTAGAAATTTCTTGGGAATGATTTTAACTCATAACAACCATATTTATATAGTGCATCAAGTGAAAACACTATAGCGGGACGTGAGGCGCCATTAAGCACCACACACAACACTTACTTTAATGCAGTTGTTCACAGTTCACATTTTTTGACCATTTTTCAAAATAAAACCTTATATGGGGAGGGGTCGAAAAAGCGATCGGATCCGAAACATTTTCAATAGCGTACGTTCTTGGCTCAAATCATGCCGATATAACAAATTCCATCAAGAATTGCGATCTGTAGGCTGAACACGAGCAGCAGGGACAAGTAGACAGACAGACGGACGGACAAGCTTTGGTATAATGGAAGGTGGGCTCTACCCCTAAGTCTTTTTTGGGTGTTGCATACACCCGCGAAAACTTAATACATCCATGTAGAACAAGTTGTGCCGAACGTAATTATGAAAGATATGTTGGCAACGGCCATTAGGGGAAAAGACTTGAAAGCAAATTTGATCTTCCAAACAAATTTTTGGCTTCATTATCTTAATGCACAATTACCGACATTCAGTAGAGTGTTAGATATAGACATAGTTTAAATGATTTCGCTTTCATTTGTATGAGAGTAGATTAATTCTATAAAGTCTCTTATGGTTTATAAACAGATAACGATTGCTTTATATCCCTTATGGGCAATATAAAGAACTTTTCGTTCCCGCGAAAATTTCACAATTATTTTCACAATTAATTATATATATATATTTGTTTTTTTTTTTTATAACATCCAATGTATGAATAAATCACTTTTAATGGCTTTTTAATTGCCCGAAAATTGAGAGATTTAATCGTCTCTGTGCGTTATGAATGCAGTTGAATTATGTTGCGTTATGAATGCAGTTGAATTATGTTGCTCTTCCCTTTCATATAATTTTTATTTCCATCACAACAACAATTATATTAGATATGTAAATGTTTATTACAATACGGGAAAATATGTTTGATCAAATGCAACAATTTTTGCCGCTCTGGTGTAGCAAGGATGTACAATGTAAACTTTAGTGTAAAAAATTTCTTGCTTTCGCTTAACTGCTTAACTGTAGAGAGTTAGTTGCCTTTTCACTAGAACGAGGCAGTCAGTAATTTACATACGATTAACATTAAAAGGTCGTAACTAGGAGGCTCCTTAAAACATTTTTTCCTCGTGAAAAGAATTGATTAAGCGGCGAAGGCATTAGTTTAACGTGGAAATAAATAATGTACGTCTTAAAAATAAAATAACGCAAACTAGTGCATAAAGCATTTTCAATCGGTTGCTTTCAACATTTTTTTTATTAAGAAAGCAGTAAAAACACGGCAGTGGCAGACAGACAGATCATCATACAATTTTATTTATATAACGATTTTTCAGACAAAGGATTTATATGGGAAGTGACCGAAAAAGTGGTTAGCTCATCATCAATTTTCTATAGCGTTTGTTCTTGGACTAAATCGTATCTGTGCACCAAAGTTCATCAAAGTATCTAAGTAATTGCGATCTGTAAGTTGAACAGAAAAAAGCTAAGCTGAGACAGGCAAGCAGAAAAAGATCCAGAAAGTGATTTCGAATCGATCGGTATAACAAAAAGATGGGTCAATCGCAAGTCCTCAAGTTTTTCAAGGGCTTTTGCATACATCCCCACAAGCTCAATATACCCTCGTAACACAAGTGGTATAGCATGGGTGTCTTCTTTGGTAAAAAATTTACTTTTTCCTTCACATTCTGGCCCATTGCATCAAAATGAATGTGTTGAGACAAGTAAGAATATTATAGTCGGGATAGCCCGTCCATTAAGTACCCTAGCATATTGAAGAATATCCAAAGACATCATACGATGTGATCCAAGTTTAGCTATTTACTTCCTAAAAGCTACAATATTTTTCCGTTTCCGTTGTAGAAAAATTGGCCATTCATGATAACACCTATATATGTTAGGGTCTAAAAAATAGACCTATGTGAATTAGATTCACTGCCGTTAATTTTTTTATTCCATCGGACTAATTTTTATCATAAAATATTAAAACTTAAACATTTTTCTGAAGAGCTTACTACATTCATGAGAACTTCTGTATGGAATGGCGGTCAAGGACTGGACCCAAGTGGTTCAAATTTGATCCCCTTAAGTTTTACTATCAAGAAAAAATTTTTATCATAAAACGCTAACACTGTCGCCTTTTTGGCATATAAGAGTTTACATTTCCTGAGCATCCTTACATAGGAGGTATGCAAAATATAGGCATACGTGGCCCAAGTTAGGTAAGGTTGATTTCTTTTTCAGTTTACTATTATGAACCAATTTTCATCATGATATATTGAAAATTATACCTTTTTACCCTATAAAGATTTAGTTTTGATATGAGAGGTATTCCAGAAATTGATCCAGACGAACTAAATTACTCAACTTTAATGTCGGAGCACTGTTGCTAAGCGAGTTTAATCGAAAAATTTTATAAAATTGAGATTTTTGTCCGTATAACGATCTTTTGGAATAAGGCGTCATAAGGGGAGTGGTTGAAAAAGTGCACTGATCCGGATTGCAATAGCGTTCGTCTCTGGGCGAAACACGTCAGTGTATTAAACTTCATTTAAATATCTCAAAAATTTTCATCTGCATGTAGAATTCAAAAATGCATGGACTGACGGACAGACACACTTAGATCGATTTAGATACTGAGTCACAAAATGATGCTGAATCAATCGGTATACTGAAAGGTGAGTCTATCTTAAGCTCTCCTCGCCGCAAAGTACGTCTCGTACAAGCTTAACTTAGCATTCCCTGTACAACAAGTGGTGGCTCGGTTTTTAGCCGGCGACTCAAATAAATAAATAATACATTTTTTTTTTTAGTACTTAATTTATGCTTAATTTTCTTCTATTAGTCTTTTCGCCAAACAATTTGTTAAAAACAATCTCCTTTTTTTGGGTTGTTACAGTGGCCCTTACCCCTTGATTAGCTTATGCAAATAAATATATAACGATTTTTTTTTTTTAGTTAGCGATAATGAGGTAAACTTTAGCGATATTGTGCCATTGATTGAATGACAAATGGAGACCTTATCGTGGTTTATGCTTAGCGACATCTGCGTTATAGCATTACTCTCTACAGTTCTGCGTCGCCAAGATTGGGAGACTCCGACAATGGAATGAAAAGATTTCGAAAAAGAAAGATCTCGTGGTACCCTATAGTCATAGACGATAGTGAACTATATTTTTATATCTTAATATTAAGACATTTGTGATTGGTATATGTTTGGTTGAGTGCGACAGAGAAGATCTTGCTTTGAATGGCAAAATGTGCCTCGATGTTCTTGCAATGGCTTTTAAAGATGAAATGAAATATTTTTCTTATATACTTACAGTGTGGTTAAGGCATTTAAACCGCTTAAGGCATCGTGCGCTATTTTCGAGATGTTGTTATTGGACAAATCAATCCGTCGAAGCCGTTTAAAGTTAGCGAATGCTTTCGGTGGCAATTCCGTTATGAAATTTTGTTCTAAACGCCTGTAAATTTTATTTCCTTATAATTATTATTATTATTCTTAGAGGTTTGTGTAGGCGTAGCACTTACAATTCGGTCGTATCATCGGGTAATGTAGCCGGTACAGTTGTTAAACTCTTTTCTCGGCAATCGACAATGCCGTCTGCACAACGACACGGATGTGGACAACTGTTTTCTAAACCGCATACAAGTGGCACATGCTCCGTAAGACCTATAATTTATTATAAATCATTTTTTTATCAATAAATTGAGTGACGTTTTTAAAGTTTAATAAAAACTTTAATCAAGCATAAAATGCTTTATGAGCGGATATTATCGCCCAAGCTCCTATAAGATATTTTACATAAATTTTCATTGTGGAAATATTTATTGATTATGTTATCGCTCAACAATGACATCAATTGATCGTAAAAATTATATTGAATAATAAAAACATTTATTGATAATAGAGATAAATAAACAAGAATATGTTAAACGAAAACCGGTAGAAGAATCTAAACGGACGCTATGCTCCTCATCGCTTTTATTTTTATCATGCCTTTAATAGTGAAGACCTTAGCATTTGCATTTTATATTGCTAGAGTTTGATCAAAATGTAGCGGGAATTAAGAGAAGCAATCGTTAATTGATTAAATGCTTTTAATTGAATTTCTTGAAATTTACCGTAAAGAGAAAAGTAGTACGATCTTAACAGCCATTAGACTAGGCAGCCCGTTATCTTGATATCAATTTCACTTGGAAGAGTGTAGAAAATATAATGCAGAAAAGTTCTTTCAGCATTTTTCCCCACTTTTTTTTTTTGAAGGACCTTTGAAGGACATTACATTAAAACAGCGAAAATAGGGAAAGTTCTCATGTTGTTGGGAAGACTGTTGAAGACTTGCTTTAAGAATAATATTCAAAGCAGCGAAAGCTTGGATTGCATTTTAGAACCGTGTTCCACACACAGAGTTTTCCCGAAATATTTTAGAAAATTGCTATCAAGACTCTTCGGAGGTATGGATGGTTGGATGGTATGAATGGAAGTTTTTCAAATATGATTGAAGATGCACTTGAACCGCAACAATTGACAAAAGCTACGGTTTGAAGAAGCCGATCTTGAAATAATATTAGGCATAAAGTTTGGGCAAAATTTTAGCTCAAAGTTAAAAACCTATTGCACCTCCGTAGAGAAATGCAAAGTTTTCGAAGATTACATTGACTAATGAGAAAAGCCTCAGCGACAAATCTTTGCTTGCAATTTTTAAAGCAGTTCTTCAAAATCTCAATGTTTATCATTTTAGAATCGCATATGTCTTGATTAGTACCCTGCACGTAGGGTAGGTTAGTTAAAAAAAAAAAAGAAGAAAATGGATCGAATCGCAAAAAATTCGCATTTCAATTGAGAAAAAAGTCACTACGAAAAGAGCGTGTAAGGCCGAGGAAGATGATTGAATATGAATTTAGATTTAGTTAGTTTAGTTAGCTCTAAACATCTTAAAACAATTGCAAACAGTTCGCACTACCACTCCTAACTCTTTTAAAGCAATAAAGTATAATATACCGCAAGTACTTCTTTTGGCTATCGACGTAGAAAAGGATTTTAAAAGAGACTTTGTCACCAACGATGCGTACTTAGAAAGAGCTACGACAATAGATACGTCTACATGTTTACAAACATAGCCGACTCGTGTGTCACACACAGCATGGCGGAGAAAAAAACTAATGAGATACCCATATATATGCTGACTTTCAATGGTACAGACGTGGCTGATTTTTTTATTTTTGAAAGCAGAGACGATCTCAAGTTATGTACTGTATGTTGTACTATAGCCGTTTCCGTGTCAACTGATCTGACCCAGTTTCAATATCGAACTGATTACAAGGACTTGCAATCTGTTTATCAAATTTGAAGGCGATTGCTGCTTTTTTGCAGACGGACAGACGGACATTCCTAAGTCAGTTTAGAATTCGATGCTGATAAAGAATATGTATACTTAGAGGGGCGCATCGGCACACATTCTTAAATCAGTTCAGAATTTGATGCTGATAAAGAATATATATATACTTAATGGGATCTCTGAGATTATCTTCTCGGTGTTGCAAAGGTTATAGCAGAGTAATAAAATCCCCATCCTTTGGGTGATGGGTATAAAATGTCCTGATACTATTTGATCATATTCTATACAAGCGATAGCTTTAACAAGCGAAAATTGGAAAATAAAATTATAAAAAAAAAAAAAATTAACTAGATGATCAAAAATCTTGTTCATCCGACAAGTTTTTATAATTTTCGTATTTTTTTTTTTTTTTATATAAAATTTGTATTGAAAAACTTGAAGCTAACTAAAGATGATTTTCGTTGCAATAATCGAGCATTGAGAGTTTCATTGATATCGTGACGTGAATGCAGCTAACCAGTTAGTTGAATGGCTGTCAGTGTAGAAGAATTTGCCAACATACCTGAACATTTGAACTCTTGATCGTGAAGGTTTGCCACGTTTTGACCTTTCAATTGCGATGGCGATTGACAACGTGTATACGGAGCCAAACGAGGCGCGTTGCGTAGGAAGCGCGACAGCCACGACAAATGACAATCGCAAGAAAATGGATTGTCCGACAAACGTAAGGCCCGCAATCGACTCAAACCGCTGAATACATTATGCGGTAGTGATGTTATGTTATTGTTATTCAATTTTCTATATAAAAAAAAAAAAAAGGGATTTTTTGTTTTATGTAAAAATAAGGAAAAAGAAAACAAACAAAAAAAAAAAAAATGGCAAGAATATCCATAAGTGAATCTCAATTTTGCAAATAACCGTAACCGTGGACTACTTACAAGACTTCCAATTCAACTAAACCTTTAAAGGCATGCTCGTCCATACATGTAATTTGATTGTAATCCAATTGCAGGCTACGCAATGAGTGAGCACCTTTAAAAAGTCGACGTCCAATCGTTGCAATCGCATTATGTGATAAATCTCTGCAGAAGTGAATAGAAGATAGATACATATCGACAATGAATTATCATTAAGATAACTTTAAATAATAAGCGAGTAAGTGAGTGAGAAAAATAATGTTAAAGTCAAAGGCACATGCATACTAATACTAACTAACAACTTAAGACTTTTAAGCATAGTAAGCAATTTAGTTTTGATTAACTATCTCTTTGTTTATCAACCAAGACCAGCTAGCTGAGAAACTTGTCTATAGCATTTAAGTGAAAGATTTATCGAACGAGTTATAACGGGTATAATTTGCACCGAGTCCATCTAATTCAGCCAATTTCACTGAAAATCTTTCCAAGCTTAAGATTGCAATATTGCAATTACACTATTACAGTAAATAAATCATTGAAACACTTATACAGATAAATATATAATGAAAAGTGTGCAAGTATGTCTAAAGCTAATTGAAAAGTTCGCATACCAATAGCTTTAGATTTAGGAAAAAGCTATTTTTTATAGATTACTGTAAAATTTTGAAAATCTATTCTTTAGAAAAAAAAAACATCTTCTCCCTCCTCTTCTAAGTGCTGAGGGAATCAACAGCAGATATATGTCTCCTTCTTCTTGTTCCAAGAAATCAGCATATCAGTGACAGATGATTATGCGGTGCTAAGAAGAATTTAGAAAATTATCTGGAGCCCCTATAAATTTCGAAAATCTATTCTTCGGGAAAACATCTTTTCCTTGTTCTAGGAATTTGGCAAAAATACAACTCTGTGCTAAACAGAATTCAGAAAAATGTCATCTTCTTCTTCTTCTAAGAATTCAGCATATCAGTAACCAATGATTCATTGTTCTAAATAGAATTAAGAAAAATATCTGGACCATCTGTCAATTTTGCAAATATAATCTGCTAGAAAACATCTTTTCCTAGAAATTTGGCAAAAGTACAACTCTGTGCTAAACAGAATTCAGAAAAATGTCTTCTTCTTCCTCTAAGAATTCAGCATATCAGTAACAGATGATTCATTATGCAAAGTGGGATTTAGAAAAATATTTGGAGACTTTTAAATCTATCTATGTGATGTTGGAGTGAAGTGCATTCACTGTTAAAGTGCGGGATGAAGTTCTTCTTTCAGCTCCCATTGCAAAGTTAGAGTGCACTAAATTTGATTAAACAAAGTATAAATATTCCTAATCAGCTGTACATTTTGAATCGATTTAGGGACGACTGTCTGTCCCTACGCTCTCTGTTTTGAATATTATATAGCAATAAACCGAGAACTGCGATTCGAATCAACTATAATAATTTAAGATAGGGACGACATTCCTCGCTGCAATCAAAAAGAACATAGTGAACTGACATCGCTTGCTCAGCTTCAAAGCAGTTAAAGTGGCTCAATTCGAAACGATTATAAAGATGACAGTTTAGAATTATGGCCATAAACCGCAAAGTAAGTCAAGCGTGAGTTTTCACTTACAAACCACCGAAAGTAATCTAAATCGACTAAAATTGCTGAGCCATGAATTTTTTAAGATGGAACCCATTCTCTATATTATTCATTTAGAAATCGCAGAGTACCGTGCGAGTCTCTGCGATCATCTATGTGAATAACACTGCAGCGAAAAGAGGAACAATTCAAAAGTTTACATAATTATAAAGTCCAAAGCTGGTGGAAGTGAATTGGGAATTGTTCGAGCATTCCACTCATTCACTGAACCTTACAAATGCAAGGAATTATTATGCTGCTAACGATTTTTTGATCAAATGGAAAGTTGGTAGCAACCTTAGACCAGCCCAGTTAGGGATCTATTACAAAATCATTTTATGTATGGATGAAATAAAAAAACAAATTTTTTGCCTTCAAAAGAAAAACCATAGAGAAGAAGAAAATTATTTATGTTTTTAATTAAACATGTTGTTTATCCTTTTTGTTCCCCGAACTTTTCAATTAGCTTATTATGTGTGAGCATGTATATGCGTGTAATATGCTTTATGTATATATATATATATATATATATATACTTTTGGAAGTTTTTCGCTACTTTTGCTTCATTACTTACAATCGCAAAAGATTTGCTGAACTTGCAACGAAATTTTCTGGAATTGCTTTCAGTCGATTGTTGTTTAATCGTCTGCCATAGGTAGGTAGGTATGTATAATGCGTGATAGCAAGCAATCGGTTACGTGCACATGTTGTAATCAATTCCAGGGCAATAGTGCAACATGTTCGAATATATGCAGAGAGAAAAAATATTAAAAAAAAAAAAAAACAAACAAACAAACAAACAAAACAAAGCAAACAAACAAATAAAAAAACAAAAAAAGGAAAAAAACGAAAGATAAAAAGTAATCAAAAATAAGAATCGAATAAATAATTAATCTAGGCATGTACATGCTTATGTTTATATTCATGTCAATATATATATATACACACACACATATATATATATATGTGTTTTTATAAATCTAATTACGGTAAGCAATTGACTGCAATTTGAGCATAAAAACTCGAGCATTATGTAGAAAAACTGTAAATATTATGTATCGATATACATATATATGTGTGTATATATATAAAATATATATTTATGTATATACATATTTATGTATTTATGTGAATGCACAACATTAACTTTTTTAAAATAAAATCATGCGAAATGTATTCTCAATTAACTTACAATTGCTCCAATGAGATTAAGTCCTGAAAGGTGCCTTTTTCGATTGTATGAATTTGGTTATCAGTTAGTTGTCTGAAATGAAACGAATGAAACGAATGAAAGGGAATGAAATCAATTTAATGCGCTTTCGTTAATGCTCGCTCAAGAGTACATTTCTGTCATATTCATGAATTCATTTCATTTTGATGGGCAAACGTTTATCTTAATTTAATGAAAACTTTCTCTCTCTCTCTCTGCTATTTGTTACCTAGCCATGTGCCACGTATTCATTTCCCCATTTATATGGAAAATCGATTACTTATGATATGATCTTGTAAAGCACACCACAACAGTTATACGAGGTTCATTAAGTTATTAAATGACTGTATAAACAAAAAATCCATGCTTTTGTACAGCATGGAAATCTTTCCGTCCGTCCGTCTTGTCTTGAAATTCTCATTTGAGAAATTTAAAACTGCGATAAGGTTTTAAAAAATTTAAAAATGGGCCTAATTAAGGCTATGTATGAGTATAGCTTGAAAATGAAGAAGAAGAAGAAGAAATGAACCTATAGAAGCAAAACATTTTCTTATTCGCTTTAATGCTCTTAGATTGTTTTTATTTTTATAACGTGTCAAAAAAGAACACGGAATAATCTGTTTAATAAACTCGATGTTCCAAAGTGTATTTATTTTTGCACTCACCAGCGAAGGCTTCGAGCGTACTCATTATGTCAAAACGTTTGTAACATTTAAAAGAAAGCTTCAGACACTCTATAAAATACTGCGAGCTGCGGTCAAAATGAAGGTGATTTTTATTGTTCTCGAAAACTATATATTTACTGATCAATGTCTGCTTTGTGTCCCCTTCATAGTAATCCCCTTTAGATATAATCAACATATCTCGAGGACATGTGTATCAATATAAAAAACAAAAAATTCGACGACGTTGCTCACGAAATTTGGAACGTTACCTTCTCCTTTGAATACACCACGTGTACATTCTTGACCAGTGTGAAATTCGGAATTCACTTAAGCTTGTCTGTCTGTTCATTTATCATTTATCAGTGGTAAACATTCGGTCGTTCATTGAAAGTTCTATCGCTCAAGTTGGTGGTGAAAACGGTTCAAGTCAGTCAAACGACTCGCGCACATTGTGACCTAAAGTAGGAACATCTCTGCCTCTTGGGTTTTTTTTTTACTCGTTACTCATAAACTACAAAAGACACGCGTTAAAAACTTCCATGGGGAACATCGTGGGCTACGAATGATAATTTAGGGTATTCCTTCTTGTTTTTTTACCCACCACCATGAGATCAGGGTACACTCATTTTGTTTTTGTCCAAATTATATGCAAAATCCCAAAGGAAGCTTTAGAAACCTTATAAAGCCTATATATTCTTAATCAGCGTGAAATTCTGACTTGATTTAACCATGTCCGTCCAGCTGAGTGACTGTGTGGTTTGTGTGGTTTCCTGGTGCCAAAAATGAAGATATCGACTTCAAATTTGGTAGAAACATTGGAAGTTTCTGCACACAAGTTGGTATTGAAAATGGTCAAAATCGAGGAGAGCAGAAGCGAGCAATGGAGCGTAAACTGAATACAACTCAGTACTTTTTAACGAAAATTTTTTGATGTTTGCTCGTTCAGTGTGAGTTGAGTGTAGTGCTCGTGCGACCACATTAGTCCTGAATGTTCTTTAAGTACGAACTCATGCGCAATAATGGAGCATAGAAGAGCCCTTTGGGATTGACTCATGTATACTTGCGAATGAACTGAAAAATTGTGTTCACTTCCCTCAAGTTCGTACGACTACCTTCTCTCACTCACTTCTCAAATCGATCAATGCTTGGAACCTATGAAATTCGACTAGAACGAAGTCAGGCTTCATCGAATGCTTTCACTATTCATATGATTGTATTGTCGACGGATGCGATGTGATCCGATCAATGTACGATAAACTAAACTTTAGTTAAAACTTTATTCAAGAATTTTTTTCAAAAAATTTTAAAGCAACGAAAAGTACGTTTAACCCCCGTGTGTAGGGCTTTAGATGGGGCAATAGATTGAACTCAAACTGCATGGGATGACTTACTGCAATGCTATAGATTTATAGCAAAGGTAAAGATATATGCTTCACATGTTTTTTTTTTTTTTCATAGGACAACTTCGACTTGCTGTATACACACATTTGCACTGAATATAAATTTTGCACAAATAATACGATCTGTGCTTTCAAATGAATTTTAGCTTCGAATTCGCTGTTTCCACTTGTTTTGCTGGTGCGTTCCCCCTACCAAACAGATGAGAATAATTAAATTATTATATCATTCCTATGCAACGATGATGATGCTTTCACTTTTTCCACCTTATGGTCGAGTGTTAAAATTAAATGAAATAAAATTTCCTGCAAAAAGGTTAACACATATCATAGAATCGCATAAACCGACTAATAATTTGTTTATTACTCGTCAGCCGTCGTCAGCTACGGTTCATGCATGCGACAAATGTGTTAATAATAATGAAGAGCAGCAACAAGCAGCAAACCCAGAAATGATGATTGATTGATGAAAATCTCGTTTGTCATGCAAATGATTTAAAGTATTTGAACGGAGTTCAAACATCCAAATACCAAAGGAGAGAACATTACCAAAGAGAATAAATTTCGATTAGAAAATGGAATTTGATAGAATTTGAATTTAAAGCCTATGCAAAGTTCAAGGCGGTTTTAAGTTCGTGGCGTTGTGGTTAATTTTTAAGGCAATAAAAGCATTGCCTTGTTGTTGTATTGAATGAAAATTCTTTAAATCGAGCTTAACCTCAAAAATTGATATCAATTGTCCTTTGCTCTTGAAGAGGAGTTTTATCGACTACTGGCATAGTAGCAATCAACGTATCTTCTGAATTATTCCTTAGAAGCACGTAGCTGAAGTTGATTGAAGAAAGAACGGGAGGACTGACCGCCTAACGTGCTTACTGATGGAATGGCTTGCTCAATGGACTAAATTGTGCTTTGTTTTTTGCTATTAATCATAGAAATCCTAATGGTTAACTAGTGAGTACTGTATAGCTTGAATGACAAGTGCGGCTGCGACACCGCGAGCGGAAAGCATTCCAGATAGCTGTAGTTTTTTAAAACGCGTGTCTTCGTCTCCTTTGGGTTTTTCCGCATTAGCTTGTAAGAAGGCTCTTGTATCGAATTGATAAAAAGTTGGAATTGATCCGCTTGTGACTTAAGAGGGAAAGGATTGATGCTGATGCTCAATTGATTGATCGAGGAATATGGCGCTGAGTGAGAAGATTTATTGAACTATCAATGGAATTTGAGTTTAATACGAACAATCTCAGCCGCAGGAAGGGAAGGAAGAAGCAACGAAAAGTTGAAACTATTTGTGCATTTGCTAGACTCTGACAGATACTTTTCATAAAGTTTAACTCGATATATGCTCTGACTTACTAAGCTATTAAAAATTTTTTTCCCTTTTTTTTTTTTTAGCATTTTTAAATATACTTATGACTGAGTTGAACTAATTGCGATTGTAATCAACTAAAGCCTAATGACCGGTAATTATCGACCAAGAATGCTAGCGCGTAGTTTTATGCTTATGCACAGTATACCACTTGTAATTCAAGGGTTTAGCAAATTTGTGCGGATGTGTGAAGCAACCAGAAGCCTTTGAAATAGACTCACCTCGGAATATGTTTTCTAAGCTTGTCCGTCCGTCTTGTATTATTGCGTTCAACTAATATTTGGCAAATCAAGATGTTTTGCCTCAAGGATGAATGCTATTGAAAGTGATTCGGGTCGATTACTCCTCTTATTTTAAAAAGCCGTTATATGAATAGCTGTAACTGTAACTCCAAGACTCCAGAGTGTACGATATTTAATGGTGAGGCTGTGGTTCGCTATAATGCCTTTCATTATAAGTCTCATCAACATTCGAAGAACAAACGGCAAATGGGATAAATATCGGTAGATGTGGTTAAATGAATAGAGAACTTGCAGATGAGATAAATAATTTAAGAAATATGAAGCATTCAAAAAGTGAATGTTCATACAAACAATTCTCATGAGTTTTAATCATCCTTTGTCCCATTGCTGTTACTTAGCTATAGCTTAGCCATTCTTTAAAATGTCTAAGAGTCGCTAATGCCCTATTTATAGGGTTTTATAAAAGAAATTTGGACTTAAGGGTATATAATATATATACTTGTGTTCTTTCGATAAATGAAACTTGGTGATGATTACTTACAGTATCCTTAATTTTGTTAGCCTTTGAAAATCGGATTCAAAAATCACAGTTATATTATTGCCTTGTAAGTCTCTGAAATGAAAAATTGAAAGAAGAAAAAGATTACATAACTAATTGAAGCAAATTAAAGATGTGAGTAAATATAATAAAATATTTTCATGCATTTTATTTTAATGCCAAGAAGATCACCACTTACAAGTTGTAAACTAGTTCAACAATGTAACATTGAATGCAATTCGTTTCAACAAAGGAACTCTTATCAATTTTAAAGGGTGCGAGTTTTAAACTCGCCACCGTTTCATTTCAAACACTCTGTCAATCATTATTCTATGAGTTTGTTCTTCTTTTACATTTTGATTTATTTAACTTAACTTATGGGATACAGTGTTTTCCCTCTCTCTCTAACTGAATGCTCTACTTTTTTCTATACATTTTTGATTAGTCGGACGATTTGTTTAGTTAGATATACAACAATATGCAGTAAAATACTTCTTGATTATTAACAATATATACAGCGATTTATTTATATTCTTTTATGTAACATCCGTAGTAATATCAGCAATTTTTGAAGTTTTATAATATTGCTTGGGTGTGGCCGGTTTGTCTCTTGGACTATGCGTACAAACTTTCGTAGTTTCATTAGTTGCTTTAGCGAAAGGAATTCAATTTTTTGCCTTTTGAGGACGGAGGTATTCTCACTTTATGCTGTGCTGTAGGCTTGTTTTTTGTCAATTTGCCCCCATTTTCATTGTCAAGCTGCGCGCAAGAACTTTCAATGTTGCTGCCAAATTTTAAGTTGACAGCTTCATTTTTATGAGCTGGAGAGCAGGCACACTCAGACGGACAGATGGACATGCTAGGAATTTGATGCCGATGAAGAATACAACATACTTTAAGAAGGCCCTGAAGCTTACTTACTAAGTATTGTAAGCTTTTTGACAAAGGCAATGTGCTCTGATTCTTTGGTGTCGGGAAGGAGAAAGCAAAATAAGAATAAAGTTCATACATAGAGAGAAAGAAAACAGTGCGTAACATGAACATCTCGTATAAAAGCACAATTCGGTGCCAATGTGAATTTGCATTACTAGTGCGCTGCTAAACCGGCTGAAACAAGCAGAATAAAGCGATAGCAGTACGCATAGCAAGTTTATTCACGAGTCTGGCCTATGGCAATTAAAGAACAAAAAAAGTTTACTTAAGTGCGACATGTGGAAAACACGCATATTAAGGAATGCAAGTAATTGCAGCAGTGTTCGCTTGCAATCAAACCTCTGGGCTTCTAAGGGGACTAAATTAGCTTTGGAGTGAAAGATCATTTCAATGCGAGAAATTTTGGTAGCACAGATATCTTACACTTGGACATGTACTGTACCGCGAATTACACATAAATACCAAAACAAAATATTTAGCAAAGGAAAACTGCTGGAGGAGGGAAAACAAAACCTGGAATGGCAATGCAAATAGCTTACGGTTTTGCGAGTTGTCCCTTTCTTTAGATTTTTTCTTGTTGCGATTTGTCAAAATCCAGTAGTCATGAAACAATACATGTTAGGTCAATATTGCCTTTTTCCTTTTTCTTTCTTTCTTTCTTTCTAATGTTTACTCACGTTCAAGTTTTGCAATTGACAAAATGTGAGATATTATCTTAGGATATTCCTCAATAATAGAGTATAAACATTTTCTACTATTGAAGTTGAAAGTGTGTGCCCAATAGATGTGCAGGAATGCAATAGCATAGATAAAAATTATGGCTGAGGCGGTAACATTTGTGACAGCAATACTGAAAGCCAAGAGGTTTTGCATACTTGTTTGCGGCGGGCTGGGTGTAAAGAATTGAAGCCAAGATGTCACTAATTATTCATTGAGTCCTCTCGACTGGGTCCTTTTGTGACTTAAAGGTGTAGGGTACTATTACTATTCTTATAATGACTTTTCAAAATAAGGCTTCACATACGAAGTGGTCGAAAAAGCGATCGGATCCGAACCGTGTTCACAAGCATTCGTCCTTGAGCCAAAGCACTTCGGTGTTCCAAATTTCATAAAAATTTCTTTAAAATTGCGGATTACAGGTCGAACGCAAGAAAACAAAAGGGACGCCCGGACAGACAGACAAGCAAGCTTGGATCGGTGCAGGATGTGATTCTAAGTTTTGCTTTCTGAATCACTCGATATACCAAAAAGGCTCTATCCCAAGTCTATCTAGGTGTGGCAGACTCTCGCACAAGCCTAATATATCTTTGTGGTGGAGGATCTAGAAAGCAGGCGGATCCATACACATGCATTGACAGTAGCAAATTTAAAATCTATAACCTTAAGCTGAACCCAATACTTGCCATAAATTATTACATTTGTTATAAGCCAAAAGTTGTAGTACGAGCGCGGGATGACGTCCATCATCAACTAGGAATGTAAATTTCATGCTCCTATCCGGACGAATATGATTAAATCAAATTTGGACTCTTGCGTTAAGTTACTAAGACGCACTCGTATCTGCTGCAAGCTAAAAATTCTTTATTCTTTTTTCCCTTCATTGATGGGTTGATGAAGTTGAGAGTTGAGAACAACAAACAATTCTATCTAAGTTGGTTAAGTTTAACTAGTGCAAGTTCATTAAAATGTTCGTCAATATTTAGTCTCACATTAATGTCCGTATGGTAGTTGTTTCAATTCAAGAACACGTTCACAAAATATTTCCAAAAGTTGCAAACTTTATGGTAAATGTCAAAGCAAGCACTTCTCTGTCTCTCTCTTTCTCTCTCCCCTTACCTTCTTTTCCCTAAATATCTTGAGGGAGTTTTTCTGTTGCTTGCAACAGTTAGGGAATGAAACGTTTTCCTTATGTCCATCACCGAAGGATAAGAAGTATATTTTGTTTGTTGAAACGTTTGCAACGACCAGAAGGAAGCAGTAGAGAACCCACAAAGTATATATTTTCTTGATCAGCATCAAATTCTGTCCGTTTGTCTGTCTGTGTGTCTGTCTGCTGTAAACAATCTCTAGGCCGTAAAAATCAAGCTATCGACTTAAAATTTAGCAGAAACTTTGGATGTTCTTGTAAGCAGGTTGGTATTGAAAGTGGGGCAAATCGGTCGAAGCACGCGCCTACAGTATTACGTAAACTGAGAACACCTCTGTTTTTCCAAAGCAATAAAAAATTGGTGCTTTGCTCATTACTCATAGACTGCAACAGATAAATGTACAAAAATTTGAGCACATATACTATAGGCGATGCTGTAGTATTTGTACAAAAATGGGAAAAATTGACCACGCCTACCCAAAAAAAACGAAAAGGAGAGAAACAAGATCCAAAGATCCTGTAAAGTGTATAAATTCTTGGTCAATTTCAAATTAGGAATCTACCTAAATATATCCGTTTGTCCATCTGTCCGCATATCCAACTGTAGAGTATTTTTGGCAAGTATTCTCCCGTTAGTGAAAATGAAGCGATCCGTACTTTTCAAAAGACACGTCGCCTACGCAATAAAAACTTTTATTTTGAAAAGAGTAAAAATCAGCCGCGCCCACTCCATGTTATAAATCATGAAAATGTTGTTCTTTTGCTTTCTTTGTGTTTTTTTTTGGGGCAACGATGATGGGTGTAAAAGATGCGGTCATTACCGAATATAATTTTGTTTTCTTGTGTTCTTGTTTTCTCTTAATTCTCCCGTCTCTTGTAAGACTCGTGGTAACTTTTTTCAGTTTTTATCTTTATTATAACCACGAAAATTTTAAAAAGACAATGTTTCACTTTTCTAGAATTTGAACGAAGGTCTTCGCTGAGTTTAGTTTATTTTATTATTATTATTTTTTCTTTTTTTTTGTTTATTTTATAAAACCTTACTTTTACTTTAGTTCAATTTAAGTGCGTGCGTGCGTGCGTGCGTGCATGCATGCACGTGTATGAATGTATGTATATCATAAATGAAAGTGTGTTTAGATTTGTTCTTAACGGTTGGTTTGCTTTTCTGTTACTTTATGTTGTTGTTTATGTACTAAAAATGCAAAGAAAAAACATAGCACAGAGAGGGCTTTTAAAATTCATGAAAATCTTGAATGAAAAAAAGCAAAAGTGAAATGCAAACGAATATTCAAAGTGGGCCGCCGAAAGCTTTCATACTCATTCTCGTTCTAAATTTTTAATTGACGAAAAAAAAATTCTTGAATTTATTTCAAGCGTCTCCTGTGGATTTAAAACAGTCCACATGAACTAAATACGTAGAGCATTCGCAAAACTTGCGAAAAACTAAACTTTTTTTCTTTGTTTTTATTTAAGACACATATATTGTGGCGTTCTAGTTAGTCATTCATCTTATCGTCGTATCAATTTTGATATTTCAAAGATCACATTGAACCCTCAAATATCGCTCCTTTTAACAGAAAGAGTTGTTAACTCAGGCAAAGCATAAAGAACTAAAAGCAAAAAAAAAAAAAAAAATAGGATGACTTGCGACTTGTGATGACATTGAGATCATGCCCAGAATATGGGCAACAAATCACAATTTTCGACGAGAATTAAAGCTAAAAAAAATGGCACTCAATCAATCTATTTCAACTTTTGCTAGAGATAATCTGCAGGCTCCAGTATCGAAGTCTCAATTCATTATTGAATAAATCTAAAGCGAGTCGTCTTTCCATTAGAACTCTTAAATCGAAATCGCTTGTGGAGTTCAAAACTTCTTAAACATTGTTTCCAGAAAAGTTAAAAAGTCGCAGAGCTTCAGGCATACATTGGATGCCTTTGAATGAAAAACGCTTCTGTCGATCCATTCCCGGTAATTATAAGAAATCTTTTGCAACAATAACTCTTTACAAGGATAGGAATTTTCCACCTTGGATTCGAAGATAATTAGCGAACCTTTGACAAAAACGAAGAAAAATTTCTAAGAATATCTTAAGAACGTATTTGTCCCGCATTCTAAGCAATTTTAAAGCGAAAATGATAGATTGCTTAACAATCGTATAAAAAAACGGCATTCCATGCATGCAGAGAATCCTATAAGCGAAAGTTGCTTATAAATTTTTATTGCGAGAATCGATCAATGGCAGTTGATACGAAACCAATTAAAATCTCAGTCGACTCTGATTGATGGCGACAAATATGAGAAACATAACCTCAACATTGATTAATCAAATTTTTCACGACATTTGCGGAATTTTATGATCAACAACAGTTTGCGGCATTGACGTGCAGATGGCGTTTCTAGCAAAAAAAAAAAAAAAAAAAATCCCTGTTATTATTAGAAATCATCTCAAGTCCGTAAGGCAGGCTTGCATCATATCGATTACTTGTTTACGAGTTCCAATCGTTTCGAATTCAAGTAAAATTAATTAATGATTAATTGCTAATTAATTGTTAATAATTAATTATTAATTAATTATAATTAATTAAAATCAGTTAGTTAATTAAAAGCGATTAATTAATACCTAATTACCATTATTTAATAATTAGTTAATAATTCATTATTACATATCTCTGTTGCATCGCTACTTTGACATAGTGTCAAGCATTATTATTATCACGGAGGGACAGGGTTCATCTAATAGTATAACAGTGCATCCACTTCTAGTAGGATACCCGGGAGTATTCTATGTTAATAGCATTTCCTTTTCGTTCGACATATTTCTGTAAAAATTTTGTTATTCAATTTGAGGAACCATTTCGGGCAGGCAATGGCTGCATGTCCGGAGTCTCATTCGAAGAAGATTAATCAAGGCTCAAGACTTACTCAAGTAGTTGTTGCTTGAAGGCTTTTTCTTTATCATTATCTCACTTTAAAATTACGCTCCTAAAATGCATCAATCCATCATTGCTTCCAAGCTAATAGTCTGGCTGTCATTATGAGGCGTTAAGAAAGAATCTAAAACGTAATGATTTCACACGTCTGTAATGCGGGTGCAAAAAACCCTTTTTAATGCATTAAAAACTTAACAATAAATCAATTTTATAAAATCGGTCATCGCTCGAATAACTCAAGTAATATAAATTGCTAAAAAACAAAACAAAAAAAAAAAAAAAAAAAATATTGAAGAGTGAACAGGCGTTTTGAAAAAGCTTCAACGTGTTTTTTACTTTTCTCAAAAACAATCAATGTTCACTTCAAATCCTAAAAGGCTACAACAACAAAAAGGAAAACAAATGAAAAAAAAAAACAACAATAAATTTCTACTCTGAACAATTTCACATAAAATATCCGTATCTTAAGGGGGAATAACGAGGCGAACGTTTTGTAAAATTTTATCCCAATGATGACGGTGTTGTATGATGTATGTAGCAAATGGTATGGAAATGAAATCCCATTTAAATTGGCGTTAATTCATTCTCGACCACACGTGGACTTTTTGACAATTAGCATTTATGACTGCTCTTATGTGACTCTTTAAGCATCAAATGACGTAACGAAGCCTTACGTTCATTAAAATGTTCCAAACAAATGTCTACGGATAAGATTTCAATTTGTATGACAATTAATGGTAAGTTTGAACGGTGCTTCAGCGGTTGTCTATCGGATTTTGGCCTACAGTTACATGTTATATACATTTCCGTGAAAATTATCCTCATCACGTATTATATCATAAAGCATATGTATACACTTCCATTCTTATATATATATATATAGAACAAGAGAATGTTTGTATGTGTCAACATGTGCAGAAACTTGTCCATGGCTGCCATTGTCATGATGGAAACAATGGTTCAAAATGACAGAGTTTTATATATGTATTATATAAATACATTAATACTGTGTATATGTATAGATATATGTAGGCAAAGCCATATTTACACAATCGTACGTAGATGGATTATACGTACGTACAAGTATATGACACTAATCCTTAAAATTTCATAGAAATCTAATTTTATAACTTACGAAGTAAAAGTTTAAAGAATTGCTTTTACATAGAAAGGCAATCAAATATGTCTGAAGAAGCAGAAGAGGAAGAGGAAGAAGAAGACGAATAAGAAGAAAGAGAAGAAAACTTGAAAATATCGAATTTATTGTTCAGTAAAAACGAATTTTCCTTTGTTGTATTAGGCTGACGGTTAAGTCAAAAAATATGAGACTCGCAGTCTTTCAGAAAAATGCAGCCTTACCTCTGCCAAGGCAAGGAGAAGATCGAAGATGGCTAAAATGCAATACGCTGAGATAAGAGGTTGTTTTATTTTTATGAAGAGCTTGAAGAGCTTTTCCTAATGAACCTAAGACAACTATTCTATGTCGTAGAAAAGGTAGTTATTTTATCATTTGATCGAGGCAGAGAGTGTCAGGTCGAAAATGTTTCCCAATGGAGAAACAAGTTCTAAGACTAAAGTCTTAAAGCATAACCACCTAAGGTGAAAAAAGTTCATATTAATTTCTCTCTCGATACAAAATTTTCTCAGGCGGTCGCCAAAAGTTAACTCTGATGAACATTTAGTTACCTTATTCTTCATTCCATGATAAGAACATTATTCCATACTTCCGTCCCTCAAATGTCATTTTATTAGACAGGCACGAACCAATTAAGTTCCCTTATTCTTGAAGTTCTCATAAAGTCCTTACATCTACGTAATTTTGATTAGAGTAAAATTCTGAGCGGAGTCACATTCATATTCATTCTGTTTCCGAAAAGTCATTCAGTTAGGCTTCCGCTGATTTTGCAGTAAATTGGAAACTTTATTGTGCATCGCAGCGTTTGTAGCACAAAGTGAGTTTGAGCGAATCTATGCAACCCCAAGAAGGACTTGAGATAGACTCACATTTTATTACATCTCTCAATACAGAATTACATTCTGATTTGATTTAAGCTTGTCCGTCCATCTCTCCATCTTCCTTCCATGTGTTCAAACTACAGCTCGCATTTGTTGAGTTATTTAGACGAACCCAAGGACAAACGCTACTCAAAATTGTGATTAGTTTAGCATCTTATTTTGAAATTATTCAATGAATCATTTAATTGGGGATGTTTCGGGTAATGCCTGCCATAAGAATTGAAGATCTAGTCCGAAACATAATAAGACATCGATTGATACAAGTGTGCATCATAAGCCATAATGTCTAAGGAATAGAGCGTGGACGAGAGGGCATTGCTGCACCCGTGCCTATTAGTGCATATTGGACGACGTTTCCAAAATGGAATCGAGCACGATCACGCTGAAAAGTCACTTCATCACATCCTTTCAAATGTTGTGGCAGTTTTTTGCCCCAATTTCATCAGTTATTCTACGATGAGGTCGTTGTGATGCTTTTTACCCTAAAACGCTTCATTATCGATGTCAAGTTGCAAGAGTATATTTTTTCGAATTAAGCAGGAACGAAGGTAGTAGGTGGAAGGTAAGAAGGAAAAATCCAGTCCACCAAAGATTCATTTTTTGTCAGTGTATAACTAAACCTACTCAAAACTTAAACATTATCGATAACTGAGCTAACTTGACTTACACTGTTACATCGTTGTGTAGCACAAAAAATGCTTCAAGCATTTAAAGCGATTTTGCATATAGCTTGCAGGGATAATAACAATGTGTGATGACTTAAAGCCTAGGGATAGTACTTTCATAGGAATAGATAACTGTTTTATTCTCCATTCTAGAGAACTATGTACACTTTACTACTTACACTATATGAAGCTTTATTCTCAGATGATGATTCCAGAGAAATGTTGAGAGAAACTGGGATACGTTCTAAAAGATGGTAGAAAAGTTGTAGTAAGTATTTAGCGACACCGTCGAAACATGCAGTGCGAATAGTGTTTCCGATCGACCCGCAATAAATAAAACGGCTTTGCGCTTATCGAGTTCATGGGTATGTAAAGTCCGCCATATACTCATTTTCGCTCTCTGTTCGTTTTGGTTTAGAAAAACAGGAATGCTTAAAGCAAGTGAAAACACTAGTGGATCAGAGCACATCATAAAATACCCTACACCACGCTACATTATTGAAATAAGGGCTTTATGTAGGAAGTGATCGAAAAACTGGTTCAATCCGCATCATCTTCAATAGTGTACCTTCTTAGGCCAAAATACGTACTAAGTGTACTAAGTTTCATCAAAATACCTCAAAAATTGCGACCTGCAGCTTGAATATAAGAAAACAAGACAAGACAGATGGACAGACAAGTTTAGATCGATTCAGAAAGTGATTCTGGTTTGACATAAAAAACGATGGGTTCATTCTAAAGCCCGCTGGGTGTTGCATCCATTCGCACAAACTTATGATACTCTTGTGCTACACGGCAGACACTTACCGAGCAGTCCAATACTTTTGAAAAGCGAATGCATGAAAACTTATTTTCAAAGTTATTTTCAGAGAAAATATATCATTAAAAAGTTTTAACAATCAGTCTAATGTTATCCATACATACATACATACTTACATATATATATATATATATATATATATATATATGCATATGTGTATATATGCAACATTTATATGTATATATAAAAGTATGTACATATGTACTTTTATATAAGTACATACATAAGCATATAACTTCAATAAACTGTACGACAAGTAATGTGCTGATGAGAGTACTACAAAAAGCATACTTATTAAGAGCGTAAATAGACAGGTTCACACACACAGGTTCACAGTTACACTCACGAAATCTATGTACACTTAAATATTTAATATATAAATTTATACATACATATATACATATCGTGGTATACTTACAATCTTTCTACGTCAGCTGATATCTTGCGCGGAACTTGGGTGAGGCCGCGATGAGAACAGTCGACCGTAAGTCCATTGCATGAACAGACTCTAGGACAGCGAGATTCGCTAATTGCACCAATACTACCGCCCGGTATATGTATACCGACAGAACCGCCGCCATACGGTTCGGCTGATACGTAACAATAAATATCTGCTATGAATATAAAGCTAAAAACGATCCATAGATATAGATCACGCGAAAGGGATCGTAACGCCGCATCCCGGACATCATATTTACACCTTTTGGCAGGTTTGATTTTTAACATAATGATTCATTAATAATAACGTAATGTTTAGCTGCAGTCAACCATTGATTATTGTCTTGCGCGGAGACCACGAACCCGAATCCACTCGAATAATTTTTTTGTATGCACAGTGAAATATGCATAAAAATGATGATAATAATAATAATAATAATAATAATAATGGTTGCTGTTCGTAGTAGCACTACTAGCGGTGGTAGTAGCAGTGGTAGTTGTAGTAGTAGTAGTAGTAGCAGCAGTAGTGACCGCGGTAGTGCTAGTGATTGTTGTAGTAGTAATAGTAGTAGTAGTAGTAGTAGTAGTGGTGGTGGTGGTGTTGGTAACGAAAGAAAAACACTTTTGCCCAGATCTACTTCAAGTCAAACACTTGGCAGGACACCATCAAACTGTTTTTCATTTAAATTGCACTTGTTGGTGCATTAAACGCGAACAGAACAAACAAAAAAACGAAATAAGGATAAAATCATGTTTTTCGCATGACAATCGTTTTAATTGTCGTTTTAATACAAAGCAGCAGTAGCAGCGGCACCAGCACCAGCAACACCAGCAGCACCAGCAGCAGCAGTAGTAGTAGCACCAACAGCAGTTATGCAGTAGACATTAAGCATTATTTATCATTCACAAGGATTGTTTGGAAAATGCGGACTGTTTTTGAACCGCCACATAACGAGATAAAACCAATTAAGATTCGGAACAAGCTTTCTTTACTTTCTTTTTTTTTGCACTTTTTTTTATTATTTAAAATTAGTGACTCGTTTAAGCATAAGTGACGCAAAGTTTATGTTTTTGGTTTCTTTTTTTTGTTTTTTTCTTTTTTGATAAGCACTTTCTTCTTCTCGTTTATGAACGTCAACTTTTTGTCAGCCCTTGTGACGGATTAACGGCACTCAACTAGCGTAAATATCAACACTTTTCAGCGGCGAAAGTGAAAGAGAGTGACATTAAAAGAAATTGATAAAAAAAAAAAAAAAGAAATATATATCTATATATATATATATATAAATAAACCGATAATGGATTTAAAAAAGAAAGACAAGTTCTTGCTTAGCCCGTTGCTCTAGAACAGCATGAGCAAAAAAATGAGCAAAGCTTAACAACAATCTATCTGATGATATTCAGTTATATTCACGTGTTTTCTTATTTTTCCTTTTTTTTTTTTGTGTTCTTTCCTTAAATACACATGAAGTACCGATAAGGTAACATATGGTCGTTGCCGGTTTTTTTCCCCTTTTCTTTTTTTGCTTTTATTTATCGATTACACGATTTGGTCATCATTGATATCTGCATTTGATTGAGATAAGCAAGCGAGATGTAACCAATGCTAGTTATGATAGACCGAAACATCTGCAATGAGAAAGAAAGACAAAAATTTAAGCATTTAGTTAAAAAAAATTTTTTTTTTTTCGTTGTTGTTTGTAAACACTTTACTGCCTATGTAGTATAAGAAGAGATAGAAAAAACCCATAAAAAAAAAAAAAAATCAAGTATGTATGGATGTTTGTCTTCCTACTGATAAATTTTTACATCTAGCTAGTCTAAGAAATATTAAGCTTTCCATTACAGTTACAGTATATAAAAATGTATTTAACATTCATTCAATATTTTTTCACAAGTCTTTCTGTTTCTTTAGAGAAGTTAGATTCTATCCTTAAATTGTGATCATTTCCCTTAACTTAATCAGCAGTTATCGTCTGCCTTTAAATTTACTCATACTGTGCTAGAATACAGTACAAGTTTCTTCTTTTTTTTACAAGTCTGCAGGCATGCATGTATTTGTGCGTAGATTCATCTATGCATATTAAACAATGGGCGGTCAATGTAATGCTTAAGATGATGTTTTAATTTGTAAATCAAGGGTAACATTCCAAGCACGTCTTGCTTAATTCATTCTGGGCACATTTTCTCAAAGCTCTTTTCAATTGTAATGTTGTGCCCTACATGTGTAGTATGGCATGTGCTGGTAACGCGAAGATTAGATGTTAGTTAAGAAAACGAGTAATTTTCTTAAAGAGTTGAGAGAGTTTAATATTCGTACATGCTTGCTCTGACCATTATTTTATTTATAGCCTTAGCATCATATATATTATATATAATTGTACTTGGTGTACGACATAAGGGCATGTATGGCAAAAGGGTATATTAAGTTTACGCAGATGTACGTAGTACCCCGAAAGGAGATGGGTTGAGGTAGATCCATCTTTTATTATATACATTTGAGCTTGTGTGTCCGTCTGTCCGACAGCTTTTCTTATGTTCAATCTACCAGACATTATTTTTAAGATGTATATTGATAAAATCTGATGCACCGATGTATTTTCACCCAAGGACGAATGTTATCCAAAAGTGAAAATGAATAAATGTAGAGAGGTGAAGGATATTTAATGGTAGGCCGTGATCCATTATGTTCTTTTCACTTGTTTATTTCTAGGACTAATTTTTTCATAACAATACAGGAAGCTCTGCGTTTTTTGAGGTTATGCCTTTACATCATGTTTTTATATTATTCTTGTTACGCCTTTGCATTTATTCTTGTTTCAGATTTCATATTGTCAAAGTCTAATATCAATTATAAAAAAATAGTTCGCAAATTATTTAAACAACTTTTCAAAGTTCGCATTTTTTGACGGCGGCGTTGCGCGAACTGGCACTAAATTCTTGTCGCTGTAATCGCGAACATTGGAATGTTCTCTGAAAGAAGAAGAAAACCTATATGGTGGTTATAATGTTCCCATGCCTATAAGCAGCAGAAGTGCAAGAAGCTCGGAGATCATTGGGGAAACCCTAATGAAAATCTCCAATCTATTGTTTCCGCAAGCTAACCGGTCGCTATTATATTTGGCGAAATGTTAAGCAATTTATGTTTTCGGGAAGACGGGGAAGCAGACTGTGTGACGAGGAAAAGGGTAAGCCATTGAAAGTGAAGTTGCTTAACTTTTTTAGCAAAGCCCTTAGCAGAGGGATTCTTCATTCTTCATTCTTTCATTTCTTCTCCTAAGTATTATTTGAATGACGCATCGGTGGTATGCAGTCTCCTTCTTTTAGATATATTGTTGAAACTTTGATTTTTGCCGGAAAATGGGGTTATGAAGAATTTAGTCCATCTGACCAAGGTTTCTCAAACTTTTTTTTTTTGTTTCAATCTGCTCACTTCGTAATCTGCATCATTCAAAAATTATCTATCATTAAAAGAACGAATTTTTTAGTCAGCCTTTGTTAAAAACCAAGTCCCCTTTATTACTTTGATCTTTAAGGAGTCTTTATGGAAGTTCGTCGACTGGGTCATCAATTTCTGATCCTATAACAATTTCACTTGATAAAAGACGCAATGTAACGTAAAATCCCTTTTAACTTTGAGAATAAACCAAGCTTAGAGAAAACCAGATCGGCTGAATGTCTAGACAAATTCAATTATTTTAACCCTTCTAGTGAAAGCTTACCTCTGTTAGACGAAGCATTGTTTTTTTTGCTATTATTTGATGGGAAATAAATAGGAAAACCCAAGTATGGAAAAATGGACGAGTTTAAGAATCAGAATCAGAAACTTTTGCCAAGTAAAAATATGTTTACTTAATGGGAAAACGGATTAAGGAGTCTAAACCGACTGGAAGTCATTTCCTTGTCTTCAATTTTTTTTTGTAGTGACTGTTAACATAATTTTGGCTTTTCATTTGCTATTGCAAGTGAGGACCATATAGCTGAGTCCAGCTTCAGTCCTGTATGAAAATCGATGGAAAAAGTTATTTGATTCCCTTGAGAGCAACACAAATGTTCTAGAGGAGCCTTCATTCCATTAATTGAAGTTTTGCAAAGACACCTTTACCTTATTGCCGGATGCCTCAAACCCGACTCATTGGTTGGGATCTGAAGCAATATGACTCGAATGATGCATCGATTTAAACAAGTGAAGAACTACATAATCCAATTGAAATGTCTGTGGCATTATCTAAAGCAACTAGAGATAAACTAAACCTAAACGGGGGCCTAGTACCACAACATTTCTGATTTAGTTGGGAGTTCGTGAACTTTCAAAACGTAGGTTTGGCATTAACCGGTGTCGGGTAATCATTGCAAAACAAATTTTTTTCTTATTGAACATAAAAAATTTTATCGCTACATGATTTCGAAAGCTATCCATATGTCTTAAGCCTCGCTTTAATCACTTCTCTGATATGCCTATGCAATATTGAATTTGTGGTGGAGTCTTATGAAAAATCGAAACTATCACTATATATATTTCTAATAGCATTGTTGATGTGTGTGTGTGTGTGATAGTATCGTTGTTATCAAGTGATCTGATAGAAATGCAAAAAAAGTAATTTTCGAAACTAGATGACAAAAAAAAAAAAAAAATTGGAATATTCTTATGGTATATTAAAGCATTAACTACGTCAGAATGTATAATTTCCGAAGTAGTCGTTGACAATCAAACCGTACAATGAGGAAGTAAACGTAACAATAAATCACATAAGGCAGCACACATTGCGAAGAGGAAAAATGTCGAAGAATAACTAAACAGAGGGCGTAATGCTCTATGCGATGCAATCATCTATACATAAATTTGTAAATTTGTATATGCTATAGTACGTAATAAAATTGCAGAGAATATCTAGTATGTATATAGGTATGTATATATGTATGTATGTATGTGTTGCACATGAAGAAAATTAACGAAGAAGAATAGCATTCAAAACAAAGTTAAACTATTTCCATTCCTTTGTACAGCTTCCGCAGCATTTTAATGTTAATCAACAACTTTATGTGAATATGTTAAGAAAGTAGATACGTTCAGGCATTCAATCATGAAATTTTCCCAGGTTCGTTAGTTAGGAATTTTTCAAGTATTATTTGGACTTTAATAATGTCCAAAGAGAATGAAAAATCTATTCAAACTTTATTCATATATGTTCACCATGGATTCCACTCTATATCGCTTAGCTTTTCAGTTTTGATAGTTTCTGAAGAACACTTTTCTCTTGGAATTCTCAATGCACGTGTGGCTCTAAATCTAACTGATATCA